CTGCACTACAAATGATTTGTTGCTGCAGTGAGTCACCCTGTTATATATATATATATACACACACACACACAATTCTATCAGCAAGCCAAACTCTATTCAAACGAATACATGGGAGTCAGGATGTAGCCTCCAAGCTCCAGTGCTTGCACATTCATGCACTGAGTGAATAGGAGTTAAACTCTAAGGAAAAATAAGAATGACAAAAGGCAACATGAGCTATCACATGCTGAATAATATACAAATGTTTAGAGTGACTGGAGAAAGCTACTGAATACAGTGCTCTGCTGATTCTGAAGACATACATACTGCCAGTTTAACATATGGTTGAATAAAGATTTTAAAGATTAAATCTATTCAAACTGCATTGACAAATCACACGTTTCAAATATAAATGGCTTTAAGCTCTCCTTAACATGCAAGGGGTCAAAGAACAAAGGCTAAGCTAACAGTAGCAGGCAATAGAAGGGCTAGCAACAGAGCACTCTCAACACCACTGAGATTACAGTGCTAAATGAACATGGAGCACAAATACTTACAAAATATTAATCTAGAGTCTGTATTACATCTTACAGATGATACTTTCATTGGGATAGACCAATTAGATTGCATCAGATTAACCTTTAACAGCAAAGTGCGGCTGCTGAACTATTAGACTAACTATTTCCTCCTTTTCCATTACAAGGGAAAGACAATGGCTGCCAAACTAAAAGTTCTTAGGGGGGGGGTGCTACTCAGCATAAACTACAGATAGAACAGTCAGAGGTGTCAGAGTTTTTCGGACCACTTCATACATCTCTATGTCTTAATGTCACATGTGAGGCTCAAAAAGAACGTCCGGATTAATGTTTAGGTCTCAAATGCAAAATCAAGTTACATCCTCAGAAGACACATCTTTCACCAAACTTTGACTGAGTTCTCTTTAATATTCTTTCAACACGCTTTAAGGGGAACACTCAGTTCTAGGTATGTCACTGACTGGGACTACAATCAGCACCCTAATCAATGTGTTGTTAGAAATGGAAAACAGTGGTGGCAGCTCTGTACTTTATAGCCTTTCTACTGAAAGAGTCACTGTGAACCTGCTACAAGGAAAACTATGCTAATGTGTCCATCACAAACTTCAGATAAAACATAGAATGTCTTTTAGAATGTCTTAAACATTTGTGTTTAATCTAGAACTGCCAAAAAGTGTTCATGTGTATCGTTAGCTTAGTGCTAACAAACTACTAGCATCCCATAGGGACGTTAGCAGAAGTAAGCATTATCATAGAGGTGTTTTTTCCTCATGTTTTGAATTGAAGGCCTGGCTCTAATAGTGACAATTCACTATTGGAATTGGACTGGAAATTAAATAAATGCAGGGTGGTCTCTGATATGATGCTACTACTCTCTAACCTTATAGTTTTCAACTAACTTATATGAAGCTGTAAAAAATGAAGAAATGCATTTAGAATGATTAACAGAGCTGTAGATGATTCTAAAATGACTGGCATCGGAATCTGAAGAATGAAGTTATCATATCTTAAAATACCTTATGATCTGTAACTTATTGTTTTTCTATCTACACTCTTTATTTTTCCTGTTTTTTTTTATATAAAATTTTTTTATTTTTTTATTTTTTTAAATAAAATAACAGCAATTATTTATATGACAGCAAAGTTCCAAACTTTTGAATGGTAGTGGATTGCAGACCCTCTTTTGTGGTTAAACAATAGCTTGTACCAATGTACAATACAATCTATGGAAGGGGATGTAAAAATTTGCTTCCTCTAACTCCAACCACTCTTGTTCACCTCTGTGGCTCATATAGTAAACAACCTACAAGCCCTTCATATCTGTGCATTTCTGCCGTGGAAACTTTACACTGTGTTCTGACTGAGGGACTTTGTGCTTTATTAGATGGTTTTACCACCTTAAGCCTACGGGAACTTTAAAAGGACTGACAGAATCGAACCTTTGTATAACACATAGCTCAGGCATTTGAAGATAGATATGGTGAGTCTGTGGGTCCTTAAAAAAGCTTAAAATGTCTGAAAGTACATTTTACAAATGAAAGGACTTAATAAGTATTAAACTGTCCTAAATTCAATTTTACATGATTTTAGAGCACAGTTTTTTCCAGAAAACATTTGACATCACACAATGAGATGTTTTGTTGATTTTCGAAGTGAAATTAAGTTAACACATGCTCTACTGGGAACACACGTAAATATTGCATTTTTACACCATTCATAGTGCACAATTTCTTTTATTTGCTGAGCTTAACTTATTGGGAAAAATAAAGCATTAAAATATAAATTGTGCCATAACTTTTGCACAGCCTACAATTTATGGTTTATTTTTTTCCCAATATGTTAAATTCAGCAAGTAAACAATAATTGTGCATTAAAATGTCCAAAAGTGTGTTCACTGCAGGGGATGTGTACTGATTTTCACTCATTCACTAAACATATAATTTGAACCAGGGACGCCCAAACTTTTGCATACAACCATATAGAGTATCTTTACTGGTTTTTAGTTTCAGTGGGGATAAAGTTTTTTTACAGGTTATGGGGGAATTCCACAAATTTTCAAAAATGTAAGCATCATTCAGTAGTAAGATATAAGCAACTTACCACAAACTACTACAAGAAAACACATGAATCAAAATATAAAAAAAACATATAAGTTGTGCTTTATCACCTTTCTTTTTTTTTTAATGTATTGATGGAGGAGCGGTATATGCAGGGCATTTTAAGACAAAATATCCAAAGGAAATATATATTTTTAGATTGACCACTATTTACCATTATTTAATACTACATGGAAAACGCACCATTGCATTGTAGACATCGCAACCATTGGTTTCTGTCACCACCAGTCTATTCACATTCAGATCTGTGCTAAACACAAACTTTTTTTTAACATCAGCTTTTGTTCAGCAGAAGAGTAAAGATTCTCACCACCTTGCATAACCTATTATCCCTTAACATGAAATTCAAACGTGTTCACTGAAGACAAATTCAAGCCACAAAGAAACAAATAAATATGAACTGTGTGTGAAACAGCTGCTTGAAAGGTCAAACAAATTGATAACAATGGTTTTTCTGCAACAAACTGTTAAAATGCCCAGTATTTTCAAATGTTTTAGCACAGAAAAATTAACTCTGGAAACAGTGTTTGCACAGTTATGTTACAATGAAAAATGAATTGTCATTACTAAGAATCTGTGGATTTGAGTAATTCCACAGTGACGCCTGATACATCACCAACACCTTTTTTGAAATATATTGAAAATTAGGGCCATAGCAGGCACATCAGGACATTCTGTAAAAGTCCAGAATGGCCGTCTGTCCAACAGCTGTGGGCGTGGCTCCATGGTTCATCAACCTTAAGTGTGTCATTTGAGCTATCCAGACAAATTAATAGGTACTTACATTGAAACAAATATTAAATTGATGTGAATCTGCATCTACATTATATGAAGCGCTGTTATGCAGTTATGCAGAAATGTAAACCTTGTGTCTGAAATACCTTACATTTACATTTATTCATGTAGCAGATGCTTTTATCCAAAGCAATGTACAGTACATATGTGATAGATGCAGTCAAACATACAACCTATCTCTTCATTCATTTGTTATTATTATTATTATTTGTTAATATAATATAATGACAGGAAGAGTGCATGGGAGTATGAAGAAGATAGCTCATCCTCATATTATTTTAGGAACCCAGAGTAAGACAGTCATCAGTGTATCCTTCACCTCTCAGTTTTGTAGTTGGACTACAATAATAGATGCTGTCATTATTTGTAATCTGTTCTTTATATGTCAAGGTAATCTCATTACACTCACTGCAAAGCACTGTCAAATGTGAGGGCATGGATAAATACAGTTGCCTCCAGCCTGGTCAAGAAACATACTGTAAAAAAGGCACATTGGTTCAACCTAAAAAATACTTCATGTGGTAACAAGTACATTAACCAGTTTTATTCAACCTAAATAAATACTTTGAATGAATAATTCTTTCAATCAAGATTCAAGTCATTTTTGAGTTAAATATAAAACTAGTTCAATTGCTTGTTACCAGCTTAGAATAATAAACACAGACTCTAATCATCATCAGTGGTTTTGTGATGTTACCTGCTATTGTAAATGTGATACCTTGACTGGTATAGTATTGTGAGATAGTATTATGACAACCCTGCAAGGGGCTGTGTGTGCGCATGCTGGTCAAAGGCCATGGCTGTTTTTAGTCCCAGTCCGTCGCTGGATCATAGTACCAAATTGTGTCAAAAATATTCAAAAGATGATGAATAGTCATTAGTCAAGCCATACAATGCAAGCCTTATATCTTTATAAGTGGTTTACAGCAACTATATGTGAAAAATCTTGAGTAATACTCAGACAATATGACAAACATGTAGTTTATTATGCACTATGAAACATTGTAAGTTTGGATTTACTATCATGTGATGGATGCATTCAGATTTTCCTCACCATGCTGTGTTTCCCCAAAGTAGCCACTTCTTCTTCTTGTTCTTCCTCCAGAGTTTGAGGTTGATGTTAAATTCCATTGGAACTCAACGTGATTATATGATTTTGTGCTATTTTTGTATTTCACTTTCGTCCAATTCAATATAATCATAGTTTTATTACATTAAATGCTACAGAGCCACGCTACGGAGCCCTGCTGGTGACGTCCTATATAAATAAAAATAATGCGTGGCCACGACTTAAGTGTGTGTGTGGGGGGCGTGTACGTGTCTCTTCTGTGAAGGCTCACTAACTCCACTAATAAAGCCCTGCTTTCCGGGAGGTTGATTCAAATTAACCTGGCTGTGCTTGTTGGACCAGCCCCCCTACGCAACATGTAGTGTGTGTGTGTGTGTGTGTGTGTGTATGTGTGTGTGTGTGTGTGTGTGTGTGTGTCAGAGGGGAGAGCAGCATGTGAGCCCCCCAGCAGGGAAAGTCCGTGTGTGTCCCACACTCATACTCACACACTGCGCTGCTGTGGCTATGGTCGCCCACACTTGGAGCGTGAACAGCAGCAACTCGGCGTTCCCTCCCGGCGCTAACGGCAGTGTTGGAGACCCCCTGGCGCCCCCCGGCTCCTCCGGCCTGAGCAGGACGGGTCACACGGTGGTGGCCGTCTGCCTCGGCTTCATCCTCTTCTTCGGATGCTTCAATAACCTGCTGGTTCTCCTCGTGTTCGCCCGGTTCCGCTCGCTGTGGACGCCAATTAACGTGGTCCTGCTGAACATCAGCGCCAGCGACATGCTGGTTTGTGTGTTCGGGACACCCTTCAGCTTCGCCTCCAGCCTGTACGGGAGGTGGCTTCTGGGACAGCACGGCTGCGAGTGGTACGGCTTCGCCAACTCCCTGTTCGGTAAGTGAGCCTAAATCAGCCCGTAGCTCCAAACGAGCACGAGCGCACAGAGAGATTGCTAGTTTGCACGTTTCGTTCAGTTGAATGGGCTCAGCCGGAACCGAACTGCCCCTGAAAAACTTCTCCGAAAAAGTTTCTCTACGTGCCTCAGTGGGAACGTTTTGGAAGCCCATTCCTGCCAGGCGCAGGAGGAAAACAACGTATCCATCACCATTTCACTCCTCCTTCTCTCTGTATGCCGGAGTATCTTGAAATAATGACTCATTCTCTTAAAAACGTGTTTCAAAATAATGAATTATTTTATCAAAATATTGATATGTCAAAATAATGACATTTTCTAAAAATGGATTTACCACACTCTTTAAAAGGTTGTTTCTTTAGTGGTTCTTTAGTAAAGAAAATGGGTCTGTACAGAACCATGAACACTCAAAGAACCTTTTGTATGATTAAAGGGTTCTTTGCATCGTGAAAGCATTCTTCAGATTGATGGAGAACGTGCTGAAGATGGTTCTACATTCTATATAGCCCCAAAAAGGGTTCTTCTATTGTTACAAGCTTGACTTTGTCGCAATAGCAGAACCCTTTTTGGGGCTATCTAGAACCCTTTTTCAGCTCATTCTCCATCAATCTTAAGAACCCTTTCACGATGAAAAGAACCCATTAATCATGCAGATTGTTCTTTAATTGTTCATTGTTCTATATAGAACCTTTTTCCTTACTAAAGAACCCTGGAGTAAATGTCAGATGGTTTACTTTCTCGAAATGACTTAGTATGTCAAAAATAAAGACTCAGTATCTTAATCTATGAACTTTTTTAAGTAAATCTGACTTTTGTTTTGAAATATTGACTTTCTTATTATCCCCAAATAGCTACTTACTTTGTTAAAAGTTCATTCAAGTGATTTTTTAACACAGACAGTAAGTCAATATTTTGAGAAAATAAGTCTTTATTTCAAGATTCTAAGTCAGTGTAACATATTGCCTGAAACAGAGAAGGAGAAAAATGAATGTTCTCCCTAACCTGGCTGGACCAGACTTCCATAAAAAATATTTTGTGCTTTAACTCTGAAAAGTAAGCAAGACAACTGCCTTAAAAATTTGAGTATGTTAAACTTCTAATAGTAAGTTTACAGAACAATAATATACGTTATGTTAACTTTATTATTTGAAGTTTAATACAATCAATAATTTAAGGCAACCAGTTAATTCATTTTCTAAATTAAAGCACCAAACACCTTTTTATAGTGCTGAACTTGCTTTTCTTGAAACTACACTGTTAAACCTACATAATTTCTGCATAATTAAATCATAAAGACGTTAACAAAGTCATTCAGCGTGGTTTGATGTGAAATGCTCTGTTCTAAAGAAACTTACAGAGTCAGAATTGTTCACAGTGGTGGTGATAGGAACAACATGTCTGTAGTGTTTAGTGCCTCTTAAAAGCTCCCTCACTCTAAATTATTACATGGAATAGTTACAAATACATGTTTCCTGATGCCTGAGACATTGTTTTGTGACAGTTTCAAGACAAAAATATTTTTAAGTCCATTTATGGCAGGGAGGTGCATGCAGGGCTTTCTATGGCAAAACAGTCCCCAAAGAAAAACTTTTTTTAAATATTTACCCTTTATTTTACCATCATCAGCATTGCACATAAAACTCTGAAGACACGTGTAGGTTCACTAGTGGTTTTGGATAGTAAATAAAATGTCTATGTTTGTGTTGTAGACATTGTGACCTCTGGTTCCTATCACCACCACTGTAAACAAATCCCAGCCAGTAAGTTTTTCTACAATTAAAAATTTCACATTGAAACACTACTCAACTATTGAATTATGCAGAAATGTTGCAAAATCATTGGAATCCTCCTCTATAAATGCTGTATATGACTGCATTTTTATAAAATAGAGGAAATTCAGTGGTCAGTGGGTTTAAAACTAAAGCACCACATGTTCTCACCACACATTCTTTAACACTTATGCTTACCTATGATTACAGTCAAGCTCACTCCCAATTTGTTCTCCAATAGCAGAACAACTCAACTAAGCAACAAGACGTTTAATGATTGTTACAGAAAAGGTTTAGAACATGCACTCACTTTCTGTACTTTTGCATTGGGTTTACATATCATTAGCGATGGTTGCTTATTAGGCTAGAAGTCATTGATTATATTATGACTTGCCTGTTCTGTAGTCAGTGTTCCATATGGTAGCACCTTGGATAGTTCCTCTTTCAGCCTCTACTGACCACATAGAGGGGGAATGAATTAGACTTCGCATATGTGCTACTGCTTTTTGAGTAATTTGAGGCTCTTCAGATATTTGCATGAAGAGCATTTAGCTCTAAAAACTAGATCTGATTATAACCCTGAACATATCTTTATAAACGGTGGGTATAGAGTTAATTTCAGAATACAAAGCTTAAGTTGCAAATATGGAAGATATTTGAAAATCATTTAATGTCAGAGATCCACAGCCTTGTGGAGTTTAGCTCTGAATTCTGAACCACCACAACTGGCGCCAATGTTGAAATGCCCAGGCTTGAATGTCTTGACTGCCTGGATCAAGTGTGTTGGATTACAGTGTTGGAGATACACTTTGCTGAACTGTTATTTAGGAATGGTGTACTACTATAGGCACTACAGTGCATCAACGTGGTGTTTTTGTCCTTCAGTGAAATAACTTCACAGTAACCATCTCCGCATGGCTTGTGCTCCCAAGGCAAGTCACATTTATTTATATAGCGCCTTTTGTACACTGCTGTCATTGACAGTGCTTTCCAAATGAGCAAATGCAGAGTCATTTAAAAAGCAAGTGATGGAGAATAGAAATTAAAAACATGATTAAAACAATAGGTTTAAAAGAAAAAATCATTAAATTAAAGATCAAATTAGAAATTAAATTAGGATTATTAAAAATCTAATTAAAATGAAAAATTAAATGAGGATAATAAAGTATAATAAAGTGCTGTTACAGAGGAGCACTCAGCATCAATACTTCAATATATCAAACAACACCTTTATTAACTGGCATTTTTCAGCATCTGTCCAATCTTTGCCTTTATTCCAGCTTCCATTCTTTCCTGGAGTCTTGCTTTTAGTTTTTTAAGGGATCTGCAGGGATATTTTTCCACACCTCTAAAGTTCAGTTGGTTTCACTTTATGCTTCTCACGATCCAAGTAATCCCACACACATTCAGTGATGTTGAGGTCTGGACTCTGGGGCGGCCAGTCCACTGTTCTGAGAACAGCTTGCATGGTTGTTAAGAGTCGAATTTTCTCTGTATCTTCTAATGTAATGTATTCACTCTGCAAACTGTTTACCTAAATTATCTAAATTAACCCCAAGCTGTTATTAGGCCACATTTAAAAATGTCCTCCCCCCCATGTTCTGACATTTGATTATAGAGCTAATTTAAGGCTCCATAATTGCTCTAGTGGGATCCCACTCTCCTACTAATTTCTCCCCCATGATTGATTTTTTTTAGGAATAGCAGGAATTAAACCCATACTGCAGTCTCTTTCATCCAAACCCAGACTGATAAATGTCTCAAAGGAGGTCTTGCCAACCATCAGGGGCAAAATAATGCAATGTTTTATTAAATATTTTTCTGCACAGTATACAGTGCCATTAAAACGTAAAGGTTTTTTGCTTTTCTTTGTGGAAAAGATAACGCTCGTGAAGGACACAGAAAGTCAAAATGTATCTGGATAACTATAACCATACAGTCAGTGATTGTCACCCTTCAAGAAACTTGGCAAAAACAATCATATCAAACAAACAAACAGTGCATGTAGGGATTCAAACGTTCCTCAAAATGTTTAGAGAAATTACTTACCATTTATCTAACAGAAATCGTTCCTACAAGAGTGTTGTTTTATTTTAAAAATAGTGTATTCTTTCACAAATATATGGGGCAAAACTGTTGGCACCCTGAAATAATATTTAAAATAAAACCAAAGAAATATGCACCTTCTGGGTTAAAAAAAACAACAACAACAAAAAAAACTTCTTTATATTGCTACTAGTAACTTCATTGTTGTCTATGACCATTTCCTGTTTCACTGGGGTATAAATATGTAAAACCCTTTTGTCACCCATCAACAAATGAGACAGCTCAAATGAGACAGCAGGTTGAAAACCTGCACAGATTAGGAGACGGTTATAAGAAATTAGTAGTCAGTTGAAATTACCATTCAGGACAAACAAGTGATAATAAAAACGTTTGAAAAGCATGGAAGAGCTAAACATTTGCCAGAACGAGGTATTGAGCATACTGCACCAGGGTACAGTAAGAAAGATAGTAAGAGAGGCAAAGAGGAACTCAAAGACCACCATTTCAGAACTGCATAGTTTGGTGTTTTCAAATGTCTAAATCCACTGTCAGATGCCACCTCCAGGTCTAGAAACTTTTTGGAAAGTTTTAGAACGTCTCTCAGTCTCCAGATTTGAACCCAAATGTGGTGTGTATTGAAGAGAGCAGTCCACAAGCAAAGACCCAAGCATATGAAGGAACATGAAATGTTCTGTAGGAGTGGGCCAAGATCCCTTAACGAACATTGTCCAGACTTGTTAAGCATTACAGAAAGTGGCTCTGTGCTGTTATTCTCACCAAGGGAGGCTTTACCAAATATTAATAATGGGGTGCCAGTTGTTCCTAAAGAAAACTAATATTTTTAATACCTAAGCATTACTAAACAAAAAAACCTTTGTCATTGCATGTGGTTTTATGAAAGTCATCAATAACTCTGGAGTTGACTGCATGTGAAGCACAAATGTGATCTTATGGTTTGAGTATTGTTAAAGTTGTTAAGTTCACATACTTTATCACACAATAAGGTCGGGTAGTTGGTGATGCACAGCCCTGGCTGTGGTTTTCATGGATGACTTTTAGTGATTTTAGACTTGAAGAATATCTAAGCACTTTACAGTGCTGTGTGGTCATCAGAGACATTTCCACTTAACCATAATATATTAGAGAGGCATGTTGTTATCAGAAATGTACATTATGTCAGAGTAAAGAATGCAAACAATACACCAAAAGTGTTTATTAGGAGTTTGTAGGTCATTCTCTGGCCTTGATGACTGACTTTCTTGTTCTGTATAGAATAGAGAGTAAAATATCTAATGGAACTGCTTCCCATGTATTCTTTAGCATTCACTGTGAAAGCCCATTCCCACCAGGTAGAGGAGAAAAAATTCCCTAAGATATTTTTCTCCTCCTTCTCTGTTTCCGGCAGCAGGATGTGAAAATATTAACTTATTTTCTCAATATATTGACTTACAGTGTTGAAATATTGACTTAGCATCTTGTAATAATGACTTACCATGTCAAAATGCTGACTTTCTACCTCAAAATCACATCTTATGATCCCAAAATAAATAATTACTTTCGTGAAATTTCATTTAATTCTTTTAACACATACACTGATACACTGATACAAAATGGTTCATAATTTAAATGTGGAAATTGGTTTCTCAAATAAAATCTAAAATAAAACACTACATCAACACAATTACTTTATTTAAATTTGTTTGCTTTGGCAAGAATTGTGTTTATATAACATGTAAATCATTCAAAATGCCATTTTTTCACTGTACTAATATTTCGAGAAAATGAGTCACTATTTGAGTTATTAAGGCAATATTTTGAGAAAATTAGTCATTAATTCAAGATATTTAGTGACAAAATAAGTTTTGACAAAATAAGTAATTAGTTTGAGATAATAAGTGAATATTTTGACATACTGGTGCCAGAACCCAATATGTCTTAATATAGTTCTCCACATATGTCTTAATATAGTTTTAGATAATATTTCTCAATCACATTTACATCTTAATGTCCTCCTCATCAAAACACTCCCTCGCTTGACTTGTAGTACAGCATCTTGCATTTCTTATTGGGATATCTAAGTAAACATAGAACTCCTTCAAGCATGTCACAGACAGTTGCTAAAGATCAGTGTATGACAGGGGTGTCCAATCTTATCTGCAAAGGGCTGGTGTGGGTGCAGGTTTTCACTCCAAACAAGAAGAGCACACTGGACGCCCCTGGTGTATGACATATCAAGTTTGCTGGTTTATTATTAGTGCAGCAAAAGAGTAGAATATGATACATATTGTGTATCGTGAAAATGTTTTCACGTATCATGATGTAATATTTTTGTCATATTGCCCACCTCTATTGTTACATCCCACCCACTAGAGTTTCATTCAGCTTTAGCTCAAATGTGACTGCCACCTTCTGCCATCTTCACCACAGCTGCTTTTCCTCTGCTCCTCAGGGATTGTATCTCTAGTCTCGCTGTCTGTCCTGTCATATGAACGCTATGTGGCCGTGCTGCGGGCCACCAAGCCAGACACGTCGGATTTCCGCAAAGCCTGGCGCTGTGTGGCAGGTACCTGGCTCTACTCGCTGGCATGGACATTGCCTCCGTTCCTGGGCTGGAGCAGCTATGGGCCTGAAGGTCCAGGGACCACCTGCTCCGTGCAGTGGCACCAGCGCTCCACCAGCAGCATCTCTTACGTGGTGTGCTTGTTCATCTTCTGCCTCGTCCTGCCACTGTTGCTCATGGTCTACTGCTATGGCAAGATCCTGCTCATCATCAAGGGGGTGAGTGAAAGGGTGGCAGGCTCTATATGTCAGTTTTGATAGAAGGTGACCTTAATTGTGGTGCCTTTTTACAACCAGTAAAAAGATAAAAGCAACAATGTTGTTAGGCTTGTAAAAAAATGTAAAAAAGCAGGAGTAATGTAATAATACAGTATACTTGAACCCTGCTACATACCATTAATGAAACCATGCCTTAAACATGTCTGATTCATCTTCTCGGGGTCGCAACTGACTTTACATAATGTTCTTCCACATATTGCCAGCAATTACACATTTCCACCAGAGAGGTCTCCAAATCTCCAAATCTTACACGGTGTAGCTTTAATTAATATATACTTTACTGTCTATGTTGCAGTTTTACAGATGACTGCCAGCTCATGCTAGAGTTGTTCCCTTCGATGCAGCTGTAGTCTTTGTGGTGTATTTAAGTGCAAATTTTCACAGGTGACAGTGAGCTGATGGATGGTGACAATCAGTTCCCTTTAGGCGGCACTAGTTCTTCCTCCTCAGCATGGTATGTCTGTGCCCTAAGGCAACTGGCAGTCCTCAAAGAAATGCCACATCAAGTACATCATTCGGACATGAATACATCATCAAAGACTTTTATTGATCATTGCTTAAAGATGTGCAGTCAATGTCATGTGGATGTAATGTATGAAAAGAAGAAAGACAGCAATAACCTCTACTTCATGCAGTAGCCTCTATCTAAATGTCCAGTCTCCAACTTGGAAGATTCAATAATCAGATGATCAGGATAACGTATTTTCAAAAGTGTCAGTGCTCTCTTTACAGAGCACATCTGCATATGAAAGGTTTCGCATTATAGACCACTTTCAAGATTTTTTTCATTACATAAGTTGAGCTTTACACATATAAGAAATATCAAAGCTACATTATGAGAAATAATGTAGCATTATTTTATTAGAGAAAAAATGTGTTTCCATTATATGTCTGCTATTTTTCTTTTCAACAATGTTTATATCCAAAATTGACAAATTTACAGTGTTTTGGAATTAAACTCCTCGTATGTATGTGATGGGTTTGCGCCTCAGAATGAAAAAGTGAACAGTGATCAGAGATCCCACCACGCCAAAAACATTCAGAGAAGCAACTTATCACTAGTGAGACTCAGCTGGGAGCTCACACAAGATCATCAGGACTGTATGATATTCTTGCCTTTCCTGCATACATGCCCCTTTTCCCTACAGTTCTTTCTACTCTCTTTTCATTTTGACTTTCTTCTGTGTGCCAGTAAGAGGTACTTACCCAGATAACCTGCACCCAGGTGTCACAGCACAGCTACAATTAGTATTCTATGTGTGTGTTTTCACAGCTATAAAAAGACCACTGCGCCCCCTGTTTGGACTATATGGACTCATTTGCTGCTGATTCTCCACATAAAAGACTAGGAAGAGGTTAGCCGGTGTTCCAGCCTTCGGAGTTCAGTGACTCATCCCTGCCTTAGGGGCCTTACATAAACAAAAGGCTTACTGAAGGAATATGTAATTAGGCTCCCCGATCGATGGCAAGCCGGTGAGGCTCGCGGCTCTGGTGTTATTCCATGAATGAATCACCCAAAGGAGGTATTATTAGAAAGGTAGAACTGACCTGTTACTACTGGTGATGAGCCATTATGTAACACGCTTATTTCCTTCTGGATTTGTGGCGTGTGGCCGCTGGAGCTGTGCTGCATACCCAGTTAATGGAGAGAGCCACATCCATTACCAGTAAGATTAGGCCGCTGACCAGAGCCACAGCACTTTTCTTAGAAGCACAGAAACAGATACACGACACCAACTGCAAGGTGAATTACAGGCAAATAGATCTGTGCCAGTCAGTGGGTGACATGTCTGAGAAAGTAATTACACTCATAAAAATAGTCAAGACTCTCAAGACACGGCACACGAAATTGATTCTCACAATTCTCCTTATAGCCTGTCTCATAAAGATGTCTTTAGAAGCAATGGAGGCATGCTTAAAGGGGTGTATGGAATTTTAGAGGCCGATGTGACATTTCGGCTGAAGAAAAAGTCACAAGAAAAGACAAGGAGATCATGCAGGTAATGAAACAGTCTGCAAGCATTCCTGTGAAATATCTGATGTTCCACTGAAAGAGCTTTGCTCCTTGCACACTACGATCATATGGCAAGGTGTCCAAATCTCATGGGAATCCTTTTAACTGAAGGTTTCTCTGCAGAGGCACGTTCATTACATGGATGAGAGAACCCTCATTCAGTGTCTTCAAGACAGGTGCTAATGGAGCATGTAAAAAGGTGAGAGTGACGACAGCAAGGACAGAATTGGACCAGCTGTCATTACTGTTGATTGGAAGCTTACAGTCTATGGCACACTGGGAGGGCACCCTAAGATAGAAATCTCTGTGTTATATAATGGCGGGGGCAAGAAAGGCTTGACATTGGGCAGTAAACTCAGGGGGAGAGAAGTCACAACACTCACACATGACGCAAAACCTCTATCGAACCCACTCTGATCCCAGCACAACTCACAGACATGGCTTTCTAATTTAGTCTTTACACCTGCTGACCTGTCAAGGCATAATCCATCTTCTCCAGAGGCAGATGGCAGATTCAGTGTGATGTCAAATATATAGAAAGAAAAGATGAAGGTATTGTCAGCGACTCTAGTTTCAAACTAAATCAGCACTAGGCAAAAGTCAGAGACCACCCGTTTCCTTTGATTTGTTTAATTTCCAAATGACCATTAAGTACAAGTTATTCATTTTTCAGGAGATGTTTCTGATGGGATAATCTACATGCACAAAGAAAGCGGAAACTCAAAGGAAAGTAAGTGAAAAAAACGAATTTCCAAAATTGAAAAGATATAGAGAACATACACTGTTAGAAATAAAGGTACTGTGCAGGTACATTTTTCATTCTTCAAGGTTTAAACAATGTAAATGTACCCTCAAAGTTATAACAGTGGTTTTAAGGTCTAATTGTACACCTTAAATAAGTTTTTCTGAAGTGAAAAGTACATATTTGTAACTGTATGTTTCGAAACAAAAAGCCTGGAGACGAGACGGGGTGTGTGGAGTTGATACTTAGAAAATATTATTTCCGTGGATTATAGTACAATTATGTTCCCTGACTAAAGGTACTGAGATGTACCCTTGAGGGTACCACCCCAGTGACACGAGAGGTACTGCCCCAGTGGTAGTTTCATACCTTTTTTTCTGAGAGTGTATAGAAAGCATGCGAGCCCAAACAACTATGCAAGACCATGTTAGACCACCAAAACTGCCACCTTTAGATAAACAGCACTTTCATTTTTACTTTCAAGTTTTCATCTTTGAGAGAGAGGAGAAAATCAAGCAAATAGAAAATGTGCAAATCAAACATAAAGGCTGCTGGTGTTCTCAAAACAATGGACCAGCTACTCCAGAGTCCAGACCTCAATGTTATTAAATGTGGGATTACATGGCACAAAATGCAACCAACTTCTAAGACTGAACTTTATAGGTGTGGAAGAATATCCCTACGGATATCTTTGAAAAACTGAAAGCAAGTCTCCTGAAAAGAATGTAAGCTGCCCAAAGAGTGGACACAAACACTCTAATACTGAAAAATGTGATGTTATATTGCATTTTTATGTTTGATATTATATTATACTGATTTTGCATTTGCTGGCTGTTTTGACTGGAAATTAAATGAATGAAAGGTGGTCTCTGACTTTTGCACAGTACTATATCTCATCACACTAGATCTTCGACACATGCTGTAAGAGATATTCAGCCTTCCTCAGCACTGCACAGGTTAACTGCAATAAATATTGAGCATAATCAAATTGTTAAAAGATCAGAAAATTTACACCACTCATAACACCTTTTCATATATCCCTGTTTCTGCACAGATGACTAAGATCAATCTGTTGTCCGCACAAAGACGGGAAAACCACATTCTACTGATGGTACTCACTATGGTGTCCTGCTACCTGCTGTGCTGGATGCCCTATGGGGTGGTGTCGCTGATGGCCACCTTTGGCAGGCAGGGACTGATCACACCTGTAGCCAGTGTGGTGCCCTCGGTGCTGGCCAAGAGCAGCACTGTGATCAACCCTGTCATATACGTGCTCTTCAACAACCAGGCAAGTGGTAAATTCTACTGTGATACAGCCATAATTATGCACAAAAGCTTGAACCCAGCTGTCAAGTTTTGTTTTGGAAGTTTCCTTGGTGTTAAGTTAGAACCTGAATTATGCATTTGATTTCAGTACAAGTACACTGTTCTCAAATGTGCAGGAAGGGACAAAATGACAGAAACACTGCAAATGACTTCAACTTTGATGTAACTAAAAGCAGCTACCTGGGAAAGAAGTATTAAGTTGAATGTCAATTACAATAACATGCAGTGGTGGACAAAGTACACAAATCCAGTACTTCAGTGAAAGTAGAGATACCCTTGGTAAAATATTACTCCAGTAAAATTATAAGTGCTCTGTTTATATTTTTACTTGAGCTAAACTACAAAACGTCCTGTTTTTAAATGCACTTCAATATCAAAAGTAACAACACAACTTTTCTCACCTTGTGTCTGATATCTGATTTAAAAATACCCCATGCAACATTACGGCATTTTCTTTAATTCTGAAAGCTTATCAGAGTTGTAGAAGCTACAGTTGCTAAGCCACGATGGGTATACAGTATTTATGGGTGTGCTATGAATGGCTTGATTTATTTGTAAAAGTGCATCATATTCTTCTGTATATTTTGGAAAATTCAGGTTTTACTTCAGTTTATCTTTCAGAAAGAGTAGTCAAAAGTAGGATATTCTAAAATGTAGTGGAGTCAAAGTGAAAGTCTGAAAACAAATACTTTATAAAAGTACAGTACTTTATAAAAGTACAGATGTTTGAAAAAAGTTCTTAAGTACAATAATGAAGTACATATACTTTGTTACTGTCCACCATTAGTAGCATTAACAGCTGTGAAAGAGGGTGGACAATTAGCACTTTGATATGCGAGTTCACAAAGCAAAATGAGGCAAATAACAGATAGACAGAGGTAAAATAGTGGATGCCCAAATTGTAGGTAAATCAGACGAGTATTGAAAGGATCAGCATTGAAATCTACAGGATACCCACTTACACAGATCAGTGCTTTCTATTTGATTCCCACCTTCTGCATGAACACCACTGAACTGAGAATGTGCCAGTCAGCGCTCAGTCCAAAGATAGTACATTCATCTCAGAGTGGCTTTATGGCCATCCAGACTAAGCCTTTTTCAAAGTCACAAAAAGGTTTCGCAGGACAACAGAGGCAGAGCAGACAGAGCATTGCTATCTCTTTCACTCTTAAAAATGTTGTTTTAAGTCATTTTATTATGTGAAATTGTCTTAATTTGCTCTTCAAAAACAACAAAGTATGTAATTTCAAACTTTTGCATACAGCTGTATTTCCTGTCCCCACTCTTCCTTTAGGGTGTTTTCACACCTGTCCCGAATACTTAGGTCCGTACCCTGCTGAAAAAAACGGCATTTCATGCTGGTCTAAGCTGGTCCATTGCTGGTTTAACCGATCACCCCAGCATGGTCATGCTGTTGTCCAGCATACCAGGATCCAAAACACAACATATGCTGGTTTTGCTGGTGACCAGCAATGCTGGTTTTCTAGCAGGGGCCCTGGACCAATTCTAGGGTTGTTTGGAAGAGGGGCTGATTATCGCTGGTTTGCTTTCACACACAAGAATTCCATCCGAACTGTTGATCAATAATGCAATTCCATATGTCAATTGTCTGCATACAGTTAGCAAAATGGTAGTCATTAGCTTCATCTGTTTGCTACTTTTTATTATTTTCCTGGAAGCACCGATTTCAGGACGACCAGAGATCGGTTATCTGGACAGCTTCTGGGCTCGAAAACAGCTTTCACACTAGAACAAACGTACCAAACTAGCAGAGCAAGCGGTCCTGAGTCCAGAAAAACTCTAGTGGGAAAATGCCCTTGCGCCTCAGGTCTGAGAAGAACATAACATTGATATTCCCACATTTCAGGATGACTGTTGAGTGTTTGTATGTGACTGGGTCAAAGGTTTGACTGACCAGCAAAATTACCAGGCCTTAATAAAAACTCTGTGGAGGGCAAAAAACTGTGGAGGGCAAACGGATGCCTTTAACATACCTACAACAATTACAAAATGAGAAATATTAGACATATCAATTAGACTTTTGATGATTTTACTTGCCAAGATACCATTTTTTGCAATGTACATGAATGTACACACTTGTATGTCAGGGAGACCCAACAACAATTCCAAAAACACAGAGAGCTAACTATCTATCTCAGTCTATCTCCATTTGAAGGACAAGGGTGGATTGGCTTGCTAGAAACACTGGTCAGTCTGATTTATACCACGCACTCCAATTACATAATGTATGCCTTCCCAAACAGTCCTCCTTTAAGGGTTAAGCTATAAAGCTTTCTGTACTGCGGAACCACAGAGAGAACTTTATTCAACCATTCCATTTCAATTTTTTACTATTTTTAACATTTTTTATGTGTGCCAGTTCTACAGGTGCTTTATAGCTTTTGTAAAATTTGGAGTAGAGCCATCGATCCACACCCAGCACAACAGCAGGGAGGAAGCACCAGCATCCAGCCTGTGTAGGCCCTGCACAGGGTCTCCATGGCCCCTCAGCCTCAGGAGCCACAGTAAGCAGTCTTCAGAGAGAGAGCAGCGCACTCTGTCCCTTGTGGTTCATTACACACCCTGACGAACATAATGACATTGTATGTGACGTAGTTTGGTATTCTTTATATACCCTGCTACCTCTGTAGCCAAACAGTGGGACACTGATTTTCACAGTGAAAACATTGAAGAGGAGAATCTCTCGCAAACCAGAGGCAGAAAGGTGTAATTGGAATGAGGTATGTTGGGTTTCGTGCTTGTGTTGCAAGCTGAACTTGTAGGATAACGGATGAAGCACATTACCTCTTAAACCTTATCCCTGTGGTGGTCTCTGTTTTGCAGTTCAAAAACAAATGCAGTGCTGTGATTGATGGAGAGCATTAGCCATGCTAGTAGTAGCATGGTGTGCTTAAAGATGAGTCACAAAGGTTAGGTTAAAAATGGCATCCACCCACGCAAAACAGTGCAAAATGCAGCAACATCATTATCTAAAACCTCTTAACAAGCTTCCAGACAGTTGGATGGGTCGATGAAGCTTGACCCCAGTAGCAAAACTTAATGGCTTATTAGCGGAGATAACTCTGCTAGTTTCTCACTAAAATGTATTGCCTTTATGTGTCTTTTCTCTATGGTCTTCACTATTAATGGGTGCAATATACTATGAAGCGAGAATTGAGTACACATACTGAACGCAGCACACAAACTGGAACACATTATGGTGGAAATGTCTTTTTTTAGAAGGCTATATTACAGAGCACTGACCACAAATACAAGATCAGCACAAGACAAAAAAGACTTAGTCAAGCTGTCTAGACTTTATTTTCATATCTGACTGGAACTGCTGCTCCTTTGCTTTGACTATGAGTATACAATAATGACATGCATAATACTGCTGTTAATTGAAACATACATAATGGCATCATGCATTATGCTGCTTTTGGTTAGAGACACAGTTGACCTCTAGTATATATAAATACTATGCTGTTATAGGGTGTGAATAAGCCATTACTGAAAGTGCATGACAAACCAGAAGCAGAATGCAGTGATTCCTTCCACCAATAGTAGGAGCTACTGCGTACATCAGAGAGAACTGTTTGTGTACTCAGCCATTCGTTTTCTTTTGATGGTACTGTAACAAAGTCAGCAAAAGTGCAGAGGTAACAAGATTTTTTTGTAAAGATATTTGGTTTTCTACTCATGCAGGAATGTACAGAATGTGCTTGTGATGTATTTTGGAAAAAAAAAATGAAATCTATTTCAGTAACTCAAGAGTAACTCCAAAATGTGTAGCATATACCCATTGCTTCTTATTTAGTAATATGTGCAAATATGACCTTTTTCTAGTCAGAAGACCAAGTAGATTGTAATGGATGTTCTTCTTCATTGATGATTGTCTTTTCCTGCCTCATGATTTGTGACTGCACATTACAGAGTATCATTATAAGCCATCACTGAATGTTGATGTTTTGTTCAATACTGACAATTAGCCAGGTTGTATATCGTCACTGTCGGAACAGAACCTTGTATCTCCAATTTTGTCAGGTTTTCTTTCAAACAATTTGAAAATGCCGGCTGTGCTTTACATTGTGCCCAAATTGCATAATGAATGGATCATCAGAAATGGCATGAAATTATTCAGAATAAAATCTTGTTACATTTACATTGAAAACTAAGAATGTTTTTTCCTTTCGTTGTAAAATTCCTTTTCTGGAGAAATGAGGTTTTGTTCTGACAGTGCTGAAATCACTACTGTCATATCAAAACCTTTTTGGGTTTTTATTTATTTATTTTTACAAGTCCAGTTTTGACGTGTGTGGTTTTATGTACCAAAAACAGTCATGATGCATTTTTACAAGACTATTTTCCAGCTTCTTATGATTTAACAGACTGTTTTTGTTACTGTATTTTTTAAAGCTGATATGATGTATGATATGATGATATATATATATATATGAAAACAAACCCATATGAATTAAAAATATATTTACATATAGTTGCTCATATAAAAAGGTGCAATATATGTGATGTTTTGAAATATTTGTGCTATAATAAAATGTGCCATTTTTTATTGGTATTTAAATAAATGCTGATATATGCCCATATGTCGATATATTGAAATACATGCACATATGTAGAATAAATATATGCAACTGTGTCATTTTTTAATATTTTCATATATTTCAAAAATACATGGAAATATATTACAAACTTGACACATAATTTAAAAATACATGGAAATATATTTTCTTTGCATATTGTTGCTGGACAAAAAAACACAAACACAAATAGATATAATCTCCATTATATGTATATATATAATACATTATTTAAACGCAGCAGCCACCCTTTACATTTTGTGGAAGTTTCATGATGAATAGACTAATAGAAATAAAATATTTTCACATTAACTCAAATAAAAAGTAAAGAACATTTTTGCCCTCTCCTGTAAAGTTACCATTTGGAGATCCTTGTTTTTTTTTGGACACTGACGATATGATAATGACCTCTGTTCTGATTGGCTGTGCTGTATTATAGCTCATTCTAAAAAGCACCCTGGACTAAAACACCCCTTATAACTTCAGCATAAATTGGCGGGGCTATACTGTTATAGGCTGAACAGACCAATATAAGTAAACGTGTCAGTTTTTCGTAACATCACAAAACCAGTGATTTTAAAAAGGTCAGTTTTTTGCTGCTTAGTTTTGGTATACTTACTGAAAGGACCAGCGAGTGAACGGTGCATTAGAGATTTTAACACTGTCTACATACTACATAAAACTCTCAATTAGAACAAAGTTGATTTTCCATTAAAGTAATGTGTACTTTTCATTCTTGTATAAAGTTGCCATTTTGGATATTACAGGGTTTTGTTAAGTCAGCAATATACATTGATATGCTAGTTTATCACATTACATTATCATATTTTCCACTTACAGGATTTTAAAGAGGAAGTAGATGTGCTTATTTTACAAATCTTGTCCCCAAAATGAGAAAACTCCTCATGAAGTCTACATTAAGTTCCGAGTGTCAAAGAGTTGTTTCTTACACTTCTATTAACAATAGCCTGGAGATACTGGTATACTACTGGTATATTTATTGCAGTGCACAAATATTCAGTGAAAACACATTCAGCGTTGTTGCACACCAATTTGCATCTACATCCAAGAAAATTGAAGGTCGCATTTTCTTAAAAATGTTATGTGAAGTGGTTCCATGCAACTGTGTTAAGTAGCTTCTAAGATACCTGATTGAGTAATATATACCTAACGAAGTAAATCAAAGTACTTAACGAAGTAAATCACACTAAAGTGATTTGAGTAAATTCTATTAAACTGGACTGATTATTTTTTGTATTATCCAAAAATGGAATGTTGGATTTACTTAAAAATACGTCAAGTGATTCCATACGTGTTAAGCTTTTTTTTCTCTTAATTGAGAAATACATGCTCAATGTATTCAAGTAAATCACACGTGAGTTCTAATTAACTGGACTGATCATTTCTACATATTACTCCAACATTCATCTTCATATGGTAATGTTCTACCAATCAAAGTAGATAAAGAACATAAAATTAATAGGTTTAAGTTAGATCTACATCAAGTTTTTTTTTTGTCCTACTAAGCTGTCTATAAGTTATATACATATAAAATTATATAGAATTACGCTCAGCGTAATAACTTCCACTTACAGCCAACAACAATGTGGCTAGGCGGTTAACCGTGGAGGATAACAAAGTCGCACACATAATTGAAGGTAGGCCGGGGGGACAGACAACAAGAAGCGGGTGAGTAAAACAAGTAAAACAGTATGCAAATAAATGTTGCCAGGAGCCAATGGGAAAGATGCTGAGTTGAGAATTAGATTAAACACTTATGAAGTAAATCTGACAACTCTCTTAACTTTACTGAAACAACACAACTAACTCAACTTCACTGACTTACATGCATTTGTTAATACCAACAAGAGAAGACTAAAAGATTTAAACCACCAGCAGAGCGATTTCATTTCATTATTGCCTGAGCGACTTTCACTGGTGACTGAAATCACCAAAGCTCTATATTTAGAGCACTTCTACTTACGTAGACTATATGCTGAGGTGCACTACCCAGATTTGTTAAGACTTTTCTGTAATTAAAGGTCAGAAACAGATTAATTGACTCATTCTCCCAATTGCGTATTTGCAGGTCACTGGTTACCTTACATAAAGTCAGTGTCCCTTGACTGTGGAATACGCTTTCCAATCAATCCGATCGGTTTGGAAACTATTGCTTTGAAGTTTCTTCTCCCATTCAGAGCCACAAGGTGTCTTTCTCATATTCGTACTTCAGCCCTCACAGACGGGTGAGTCTTTGAGAAAGACTTGTCGGCGGGGGTGGAAGTGAGGTTAGCATTCGTAATTCTCGCAAAAGCAGGCGTGCTGTTTACAGTAGCAGAATGAAGCTGGCACTGACTAATGTGCACTTTCTGGCCTCACTGACCCTGCTGAATTGGCAATGAGGTAGTGCAAGGTGTCATTTACAGAAAGCAGGGTCAAAAAGTCATTCAGAAACTCGTGAGTGACAACAAGCCATAACATGTCACCATCCTCCACAAGCACGACATGCCTAAAAGTGTCCAGACATTAATTCTAATTACTGAATTCAACTACTTTAAGGTGCCCCCATTGCTGACACACAAAAGCTTGTATAACACAAAGCTGGTATAATCACTTTAGAAAAGTACTGACTAATAGATTGAGATGCTCTGGTGCAGCCACTGTCTACAATTACCTTGTTGGCTAGACAGGTATAAACCTCTTCAGTACTGGGCTGTGAAGCAGTGGAACTGCATTGTCTGGAGTGATGGGGCTGCATTGAACACATTTGAGATGAGTTGGAGTGTTGTTATTTGGGGGGGGAATTTTTCTAATTTTCTCCACAATGTAGTCATATCCAATTCCACCCACTCTCCCCAGTCACACAATATCACCAGCACTAGGAAGGTGGGGGCAAACACAAGCTTCCTCCGAGTCACGTATAGCCAGCCACTGCATTTTTTCGAACGGCTGCCAATACAACCTAAATGGAAGAGAATGCTAACCGCCAGTTCTGTTAAGTCAGCTGACAGATGCCTGTGATGAGTGATGGGGGGAGACGAAGGGCCATCATACCCACCTTGAGAAAGTGAAACAAATTTAGCTCTCTTGGACTCCTGGTCTTGGATGGCTATAGCATCACCAGCAATCAAACTCCTGATCCCCTGATGATCATCCAACATCGGTACCTGACCTCACTCATGGCTGTGGCTGCAATCAAATCAAAATGTTCCAACATCTAGTGTAAAACCTTCGCAGAAGAGTAGAGGCTGTTACTGCAGTTAAGAGGGGAAGGTACCACTTTTCAGTAAGACTATAGTTATAAAGCGTTTATGAGTGGTTTAAAACAAGTTTATTAATGGTTATTTATCAAGTTAAAAATCACTAATAAGCAGTTATATCACATAAATTAAAAGGGCAAGACTGAGCTGTTATATCTGATGAATATGAATATCAAATGAAGCTGACAGGTTTAATCTAGGCTGATGGAGATTACAAAGTAAGGTAAGTAACAAGCAGGATCTGAGGTTTAACAGTACAACATGAATAAACTAATTTTAAACCACTTATAAACCCTTTATATGAGTAACCTTATTGTAAAGTGGTGCTGGATGGACAAGGACATTTTGGATGAGCACGTGTCTGCAAACTTTTTGGACATGTGGTCTTATGCAAAAGTTTGGGCAACCCAGTCAAATTTCAAGTTTTGTTCAGTTTTTAAATGAAAATAAGTTACACATCCTCTACAGAGAAGATGTTTCTGAATGTTTTACTTTGGAAATCACTGCTTATTTACTAAATTTAACATACAGGAGAAAAAAATCCAAGAGGGTAAACTCAGCAAATTATGTATTAAAATGGAGCACTTAGAAAATCATCAAAACATGCTATTTGAACAGGGGTGCCCAAACTTTGGCATACATCTGTACTTGGAATGTACCAATAATGCAATGTCACATTAAATATTTATACCGATTTGCCATTTTATCAGATACACTTACCATACAAGTGCAACTTTTAGGTTTAAAACTACAGACTGCATCTGGTTGTGCAATTTATCAGCTCTACCTCATCCATCAGTGGAAAAGGACCACCATAGCACCACCACTGACCAGACATCCTTTGGGTGGTGGATCATTCTCACACTGTAAAAACGGCTTGTCAGTTCAACCTAAAAAACTACTTCATGTGGTAACAAGTAAATTAACTAGTTTTATTCAGCCTGTAAATACTTAAATTGGAGGATTCTTTCAATCAAGGTAATTTTTGAGTTGAATAAAATGATTTCAATTGCTTGTTTCTACATGACGTAAGTTTTTAGGTTGAACTCACGAGCCTTTTTTTACAGTGCAGCACAGGAGTGACACTGACATGGCAGTGGTATTGTAGCATGTGTGGTGCTGGTATGAGTGTATCAGGCACAGCTTTTGAGGTTTTTACATGTCAGTGCTGGGTTGAGAGCAGTCCGCCACCCAAAAATGCACCGTAAAATGGAAAATGGCTTGTCAGATCTACCTAAAAAAATGACTTCATGTGGTAACAAGTAAATTAACTAGTTTTATTCAGCCTGTAAATACTTAACAAGCAATTGTACTAGTTTTGTTCAACTCAAACAATGACTGTGATTTGCAGAATCATTCATTCAAAGTATTTATAGGTTGAATAAAACTTTTCCCCGTGGCTAACTCTTTTCAGGCTAGCTAAGTGACTCTATACTGTGGTCATTGTAATCCCCCCCTTGCTAGCTGTTGGAAAAGTAGAGTTGTGTGTGTGTGCATTCTGTGTTGTTTTATTTATTGTTAGTTATGTATTTTGTTATTTTCTGATCTTGTAAAGCGTCCTTGGGTTTGAGAAAGATGCTATATAAATTGAACTTATTATTATTGTTAAAACTAGTTAATTTACTTGTTACCACATGAAGTAATTTTTTTAGGTTGAACTGACGAGCCATTTTTTTACAGTGTATCCAGACAGCCTTGGCCCTCAGGGCTTGAGGTTTACTAAAATTGTGCTTGAGATTGTGCATAAAAAAAAGATGAGCTAGAAAGGAGGTCATGTAAGTGGTCATGTAAATGCTGCAGTACCTGATAACACTCGTACCAGGGCACCTATATGACAAATATGCCTGATAAAATGGCGGATGAGGGTGACTGTTTCATGTGGTGTTTCTGGTATTTTGAACACTTTCCCTTTGACCTATTTTCTATGACCTATATTTTAAGTTTGTAATTGGAAAGCGTTGCAGCTTGTATGGGTTGTGTGAGTTTCATTTAAACATACCAAATAATAAAAATTTCCCTTGAGTCCCTTAAATATGTCAATTTCAAAACATATCATTCAGTGCCCCGTCCATAAGGCCCGTACAGTCCATACAGCTGTATGTGAAAGTTTAACTACCTCTGATCAGTTTAACACATTAAATATGGACACATATAATGTTCTACTCTGTTTCCCAATAAGTGAAATTCAGCAAATAAACAGTAATTTACAAATTAAAATGTGCAGAATTGTGCTCCCTGTGGAAGATGTGTTAACTTATTTTCACTTAGAAAATCAACAAAACATGTAATTTGACCAGGGGTGCCCAAACATTTGCATACGACTGCAAAAAACAACCTGTTTTTAATTCATTGTTTTTGTGATGTCACAAGACCCAACTTATTTACATATATCCATCTATTCAGCCGACAGCAGTTTAGCTCCACCCATTCATGTGGAAGTTTTAGTTTCAGCTCTGAGTGCTTTTTGAAAGAGCCACAATATAGGACAGCCAATCAGAACAGAGCTTGTTTATCTTATATCAGTCTTAAAGGCACAGTAACAAAAATGGCCAGTTTAATTCTAAGGGATAAAGTGAGGTTATAAAATTGTTATGTAAAAATAATTTGTGACCATTGTTAGTAAATAAAACCAGACAATATTATGTTATAAAGGGTCCTCAAAGAGGAAAAAACAAAACAATGTAGCTCCTTCCTGAGTTTCCTTGTACATAATCCGTATCTTTAGATAGTACCATAGCCCTGTGCCTATCTGATACGTTGTTGTTTCAACAAGGGACTCAAAACAATTATGAGTAAGACCCAAGACCACCACATAGTGGTTAAAATGAGGTTACATATTGGCACTCCTCCACCATCTCTCATCTCTTTGTACGGTCTCGGAGTCTTTGTAACTAGGCCAGTCAACAAGGAAGGGCAGTCTTTCATGTATTTCTTTCATGTGTTTTTTTAAGGAACATCTTTGATCATCATACTGGGATGGCAGTGATATTGATGTATACACCAATAAAATTACAGATACATTTAACAACATGCTATAGACATTTACTGACATCAGTGTAATAAACTGAATGAATGTAGCCTTTAAAGAGACTAATCAGACAATAATGATACAGGATTTCCTGTGTATTTTTTTTTGCCACATAAATGACCGACAGTACTGTGCAAGTCAAAGCCCACCCTTTCATTCATTAAATTTCCAGTCAAAACAGCCATTTAAGCAGAGTTACACCATTTTTTTAAAATTCCTGCACAATTAAATCCTTAAAACATGAACAAAGTCATTCAGAGTGGTTTGGTGTGATATGCTCTTTAGAGAGTAAGACTTGTTCAGAGTGATGGCGAAAGGAACCAGACGTCCGAAGAGTTTGATGTCTCTAACAGCTAAATCACAGTTATTACACAAAATGGTTACAAACATGGTCCACAGTAGTTTCGTAGTAGTTATGAGATAAAGTTTTTGCCTGAAGCACATATATTTTTAAACATAGTAAGGCTGGAAGAGTTTTTTTCCCCCGGATTTACCATTAATCTACCATTATCAACATCGTTACTGTCCAATGTATCTCCAAAACAGTAACTTTATAGGAGAACGCAAAAATGCATTTTAATGCAAGTTAACGTAAAAAAAAAATTCTTTATTATTTTTAAAGCATTTTTGTTGGTCTATTCTTCATGAAAGTTTTAAAGGACAGAAACTATGTTGAAATAATGAAGAAAAAATGGAAATCAAAGGAAATAGAGATACATGTTTTTGTTTTTTTGGAAGGCAATGATACATGAAACATCATAAGGCACATGTAGGTTTACTGATCATTTTGGATAGTAAATAAAATGGTTATATTTGCACTGTAGACATAGTGACCCCTGGTTCCTATCACCATCACTGTAAAGAAATCTCATTGTGGAACTTTCTCAATAAGGCAAAATTTTACATTGAAATGCATCTCAATCACTGGATTATGTATAACTTATGACAAATCGATGGAATTCCCCTTCAAGTACAGGTCACTCACTTATCAGGAAATAAAAGTAGAAAACATGTATTTAACAGGAAATTAGCCTTGACCATTAAACATATTACCAAAATGTAAACATTTAGTGGGCCCATCTTTGCCTTTATTACAGCTTCCATTCTTCTGGGAGAATTGCTTTCAGTTTTTTAAAGAAATCTGCAGTCCTTTGGTTGCTTTGTCATCCATGTGGTTTGTTACTCTCTGAGAGATTAAAAAATGCAGATAAACTGAACCAGTGATGACAGCAGTGTTGTTTCTATAGCAAAGGTGTTTTTATTTTTAATGAAGCTCAGAATCAACCATGCTTGACCACAGGCCTTTTTTTAAATCACACTTTAAGGTCCACATCCGCAGCACAACTAGAGCAAGACCTTAAAGAGTCATTTGTGTGTGTGGCCTGGTTTCCTGTAGCTGTCTGTCCAGCGCAGATGATCATAAAAATCATGATACATACAGCATGGTTTTCCCCAAGCAACACAGAAGCATGTTTAGTAAAAATGATGTTTCAGTTCAGTCTGTACTGTTAGTTCTAAAACACATATAATTTTTAAGCAACTGACAAAGTTTATTTTAAAAAAAAAAACAAACTTCCACACAGTAAGACATGAGATATGACATAAGCGGAGAAATTCATGAACCATGTACACGCTCACGCAGAATAAGTCCTGGCCCATCTGAGAAGTTCAGAGCTTCCAGGAAGTTGCTTTCAAATGAAGTCTCTTGCCGCTGGAGGCAAGTGTTCAGACCTGTATGGGTGGAGGTGGCGTTCACATCTCTGCTCTTTCTAACTTTAACTCTGTCCACCATGATAAACACCTTTCACACCAGCTTCACTCCTCCGCCGGTGCCCCCACGGCAGGGGCACAGAGGAGCCATGCCACCAACAAACACCCCATTAGTGAAGTTCTTGTCTGTGATGCTGCTTCTGCTAATGATACTGACCTTCGGAGGGTTCCTCTACCTGTTCCACAGACTCAGCGTGGTAAGAACTCTTTTTAATTCATGGTTACATTGTGCTTGAGAACAAAAAAAATCATAACATAATCTTTACATTGGTTGGATATAATGAGTTTTTAAAAGGAAACATCTATAGTGTGTATATATACTCGAAGAAGTAAACCGTATTTCTTCATTCTATTTTTGATTCATCCTTGAAGATTAACAAATGGAAAGGGGGCAATTTATTGACAGGTTAAAAATCTGTGTCTTCATTAATTGAAGCTAAATGGTCTAGAATATACCATCCACTAGACCTACACTCTTGGCCCTTCTCAAATGGTCCCCAGACAGTTGACCGACCCAACTCTCAACACATAGAGATAAACCAAAAATACGGACCATATTGCGTATATATGGTCCAATATATAACAGTGGTTTGAGAACCACTGCTATATATTACCAAAAGAAATGCTTTTTATGAAACAATAGCAGAACCTGCTATATGGAACTACTTTTTAAAATATACAACAGGTTTTTTATCATAGAGAAGAGCTATTTAACCGTGCAGGACCATTTATGCACTCAAATGCTTTTTTGAGTTTTGGTGGTCTTTATTTGAGCCCTTAAACCCTTGAAGAACCATTTTTTAAGGATGAGAATACTAGGACTATTTCTTAAAGGCATCTTAGCTTATTTACATCAAGCACAATAAAGTATCTTTACCATTGTAGCAAACAAAAGGAAATGTGGCCACAATTATGTAATTTACATTTACACGATATATTAGTGTGTTGCGTGAAAACCAGTTTTATACATGTATATGAATGATTCTTTCTGAGGTGCTCCTTGGCTTGTGTGGTTTCATGAGCAAGTAAGCATGCTTGACATCAAAGAAATAAAACCCCTAACAAGGCAGCAGAAATGGAGAAACTCGCTGCTTGCGAGTTATGCAATGTCTCAAAGCATTTCCAAGACTAAACCACTGCCAGTGCCTTAGAAATTAGAAAGTTTTTAAACGCTTTTTTTTCAAACCATTTACTATCAACTGAGTTCTAACTGAGAATGTGATTGAAAATAATCCCCATACTTTCTATAATGTATTGTAATGTACAGTTGCCTTCTGCTCAGCCATTTCTAAGCTCACCAGCATCAATAATTTGACCGCAACTAATCCTCCATATAGAAGAAAAGAGGAAGAGTTCGTAGCAAGAACAAAAAAGGAGCAGTTCATTCACGTTTTCCTCTCCGTACCAAACAGAAAGTCAAGTGAAAACTGAGTTGAAGACTTTCAATTAGGACTTTTAATAAAGTACATAAAGTATATGTATGAAAGGTTTGTAGCATGAGCACTGTTTTTCTGAAAGCAGTAAACTAAATCAACACCTTGTTCACAAAAGCATTTTCCTGTGTTAACTGCAGATGCCGTACGGATACAGTGACCTATACTTCGCAAAACAGTGTGAGGAAAGCAGCCTAAGACCTGAGGATATGGATTACTGCAAGAAAGTGGTAGAAAATGCTTTCAAAGGAGGAAGAGGTAAGTGTTTTTCACAGGACAATTTGGTTCGACAAAGACTAAAATCACCATGATGAGTCTGAACTTACCATTACCTTATTCCTTTCCTACAGTGGCTGCCTTAACTGGAAGAGGATTCTCCACCACATCACTAGCACGGCTGGTTCTTCCATGGAATACTCCAGTTACCACAAGTAAGGCCAAAGTCTTGCTCATTTCTAATCTATCCCAATTTAAGCTAACACAATTTTAAAAATGTAGTTGACAAAAAAGTGGGTTTTGAAGAAATACGCTAGAAGAATCACCTTTGGGTCTCTAAAGAACCATGTAATGGTTGTGTTTTTTTTTTTAATCTTATTGAGAATGTGCATGTATGAAACTTTTTAAATAGCCTGCACATCACCTAAAAGTTCTACTCCAAATACAAGTTTCTGCCCAAAGTGGAGTCTGCGGCCCAAAGCTGGCCCACGAGGTTGTTTGATTTGGCCTGCCACAAAGTTGTCAAGCCTTTTTGGCTCTAAACCCACCACAAAAATCCTGTTCTAGAGCTATACAAACCACCTGAGAACCCTAGTTTTTAAGAGTGTGCGCTAAAAAGCTGGCAACATAAAATCATTTAACTCTGCTGTCATTTCTCTTCAGCGGCAGACCAGCGGGATACCCTGATCTGGGACGAAGAACACTCTCTGGTGAAGGAGATACGTCTTAACAGCAAAGGGATCGTAACCATCGATTACCCTGGATACTATTTTGTCTATTCTCAAGTCACTTTTTCCAAAGGACACATGAAGGTCCCCCTGAGGCAAGTCATATGGACCCGGAAATCAAAAAACGACGGGAAGGACAAAGAGGATTGGGAAAAACTTCTTGTGTCCTACTGCAGTTTGCCCCAGAGCAGTTCAGTACCTGATTTATGCACTGCCTCACACACTGGTGTGTTCGAACTTGAGAAGAATCAGCAGCTCTTTCTTAATGTAACTGGTAGGGACTTGGTGAACGCAGAATCCAGCACTTTTGGATTGTTCAAACTACAGGACTAAGCACTCTTGAGGAGACTGAACTAGGACGAAGAGATACTAACAGGAAAGAAACTGGATACTATCCATAAATGGATTGGTTTTACAGAGTATACATGGATAATTACGCTCTGATGCTGTAATCTAAATCTTTGTGAAGGAGGCTGAAATTTCCCCAGCACAAAAAAAATAAGTCTTCGTCTGACATCACTCCCTAGTGCAAGCTCCAAGGAAGATCTGAGACATCCTTAATTGTTGGATCTTGCAGGGAAAATGGAGAAATAATGGCAGTAATTTTTTCCATGTGAAAAAAAAACAATTCTAAACATGAGACTTAGCATAAATGTATCCACGCTTAGAGGTTCTCCATGTATATTATGTTCCTAAATAACTTATTAATGTTACATATTGTAATACAACTGTGCCTATATTTATTAAGGGAAACTCCAGCCAGAGTGATGTAGGCTAGTCTAGTCTCAGAAGTCCTGTGTTATTTCAAATCATGAAGATTAAGCTGTCCTTGCCAAAGGAAGTGACACTACATTTGATGGAGGCCTGATTTCCACTGAAAAAGGCTAAACTTAAAAAAAGACTATGTTAACACTTGTCAAACAACAGACAAAGCCGATTGCTGAAATCAGGTTGTGTCACAGTAAACCTTCATGAGAAAAATACCACAGGTGGCAAATCAGTAATCTAATAAAAGATCTTTCTTTTGGAATTTCCTTCTTTTGAAAATCTGTATTTATGTTATTTGTATTAAAAAACTATGCCAAAATCATTCTGTATGTATTTTCGGGCTTTCTATTATTAGCAATTCGTGGGAAATCTGAGAAAGCATGTTTCATTAGCCTACGATCTAAACAGTTTCCTGTCCTGGCTCAACAAATCATAACTCAGTGCACATATGAAGCAGAACCTCAAACTGTTAGTTATGACAAACACTTTTTTTTTCACATATCTGTGAAACCACAGAAATGTTATGCTCCTCCTCCTCCCCCCATAGTTTCCAGCGAGATGCAGGTCGCAGTTGCTCTAGAACTAAACCAAGACTTCTAGTGGGTGAGAAAAGTCATGATCTGACCTTATCCTTTTAGAACTTTCTGTAGTCTGTTCCACCTCAAGATTTAAAAAAAAAGGTGTTTGTATATATGGCAAACTGAAACTTGTTTATTTAAAGTTGACCCAGTAAGAATACTGTGAGGGCCTGAATACTACTAACTGCCAAAAACCCCTACATCTATTAGGCTGGACAAAAATATTGAACACCCACCACATATTTTATTCATAGAATTTTCCAATTAGCACAGAGAACCCACTACTACTGTGTGTTTTACTATGCTCTATCCTCCACCACCATGGAAAGAGTGAGCGAGAGCATGCTCGTTCAGGGACGTACATACAGGAAGCTTTCAAGCAGTCACGCTCATTCCGTTCTGTCACACGTTGACTGTCAGTTTCGCCTTAGCTTTTCCCTCCTATGCCAAAAAAAAAATCTGTATGAATAGCACAATGGGTTTTGTGTGTTCCCACTTAGAAACTTCCATTTGACTCCGTTTATGTTATCTGAAATAATGTGTAATTGAGTGGGAGCTCTTTTTGGAGCTCACAGTAGGAGAATTTCTAAACATTTTACAACCCATAAAAAAAAGAAAAAGGCAGAGATTCTATTTAGGTATTTATTAAAACAGTTCCTTTTTGTAATGAAGGAAAAAGAAAACAACAAAAAGAACAGAAGCACAAGCTAAAAAAAGATCAAAAAATACATAATGTGACAATTATAATTGCATAGAACATCTTTGCCAAAGAAAACACATAATAAACGTGGTCTGCAGACATGGGCATGTAAAGAAACAAAACATACTAGATGAACATTCATCTCGCCTAAGCAAAATCTCCTGCAAGTGCTACAAATATTAGGCAGTATCAATCCCAGCCACTTTCATGACACCACTGACAATGTGTGATCCTCCAGGTTTAACAAACGCTGTGTTATTATATGGTGCCACAAAAACAAAACACCAATCAGTCCTTCAAATTGTGAAGTAATAATCCGTCATGTGCAAGTGTACCGAGATATCAGATGGAACATAATTACAACAGCCATGTTGTTAAATTGGATTTTACACGGGATGTCAAAAAGCAGCCCGGGGTGGAACTAACCACAATGTGTATCAATATGAATAACCGTGACAGCGATGGAAATTTTAAATAATAGTTAAGGCTATCCAAAAAACACACAAGCAGAGTTTAAGTTAATAACTGAAAAACATTTGAAAATAATAATAATAATAATAATAATAATATTAATAATAATAGCAGATCACAGCACTGCAGTTACAGCATAGGTTGTTGTACACCTTGGAGCTCTTCTTATTGCCCGACTAGCGGAATTTACATATACAGTAGCTTCCATGTCATGGAAGACACCATCTAACAAGGTAGCAATGGCTCCTCAATGCACAGCAATGTTAACAGTAAACCAGTCTTCTATTGCATTGAATACTAGTTGGTTTTCACAGGGCTCAAATTTAGAAGTTCAACTGAAGTATCTCTTCCCTTTTTGTCATTAGGCTTTAGCTATAGTCGCCTTGATTTCAAAGGTATACACTTTCCCACTGTGCTGTATAATGGTGTTCAGGCATAAGACCTAAGTGTGAAGCAAATCCCCCATTACCTCCTCCTTATGCTTAAACAGCATCAGCCACATACATATTGAATACAGCCCATTCTAGTTTTTGCATCAAACTCCATTTAGATATAAATATGAGTGTAACACGCATTGTACATTATTCATTTTCAAGCCTGAACAGGTTATAAGATCAGGCAATAGTTAAAAGAATACATGCACATCATGCATGTGTGTGATGGTGTACCATTGAAGAGTACAACATATATCACACAAATTACTAGTAGGGAGCGTACTCTTTTTAAATCGCACTGGTGACACAGAGACAAACTCTTTCTCATATAATCGGTTGCAGTTTGCCCCACAGGTTTTAAAGGAATAGTCCAACGTTTTTCCCCTCATTTAGGTATAGCTTTTAATTAGCTTTTGCTGTTGATTTCTGTTGTCATTTTGTAACCTATTAACTTTGTACTTAAAAAAGAAGTACTTATAATAGAAGCGAAGGAACAGGTGTTTCAGCACCCTCCCACAGACTGCCATTAAAAGTGTATTCAGAGAGAACGATTTTTCAGTTTCTTTACTACGTACAGTGAAATGCATTAAAGAAACGGTTCAGCAAAAAATGTCACACTTTTACATTTAATTTCACACTTACCCCACATATATCTGTCAAGATGTGCTTGGTAATGTTTGGCTGTCATCGCGGACAGACCAACATTTTTCCAATTAAAATACACCTAAAACTGCACCAAAACCGCTACCTCGTCTTCATCAAGGGTGTGAAGACTTGTCGGTGTTACTCCACCTCCTCCACAGAATGTGGCTCCCCTTTGTCATGCTAGATTTGTGATTTATGTCGTTTCTAGTTTTAAACTTATTGGAACATTTTTAACTTCCAATGCAAGTTAATGTAACAAGATATTATTCTAAGTTTGGATCACTTGTATTGAAAATTTCATACAATGTAAAGGGCAGCTGGCATTTTCTAAATCTGTAACAAAAACAAAAAAATGGAGATACAAGGTTTTGTTTTGACAGCAATGATATGTCCTCAAATAGAAAATGAAAGTTATATGTTGTAGTTATATGATCGTAATCTGTAGCGTCCATCTGCCTGCATGACTAGCGTGCATGTGACGTGCAGCAGCAGCTGCGTTCAGCTAGTGAATTTTTACATCATTTTTACAGTTCACAGTAAATCATACTGAGTGCTAAACCACGTTGAAGTTTTTCCAGATGTGTTCACAGAAAATATTTGGGTGACTATTGACTTCTAGTGTTTGTAAGCAATGCTAGCCTCATAAACTAAAGAAGCACAATCTGGACACCTTGGCTGACCAACTAAGTAGTAATAAGGTAAGTGGAAAATTGTGTAAATGTGATTTCTTATTGAACCATTCCTGTAAAATTACTGTCCGTGGTTATCGACCGTATGCTGCAGATGAGGCAGATATGGGTCAGGTTTAAAAACGCTGGCGTATTCCCTTAAGGAAGGAGACTTGCTCAACATTATGGTGAAAATCAGCCACCACAACCACCAGGTGCAAGGCCGAAGCGCACAGTAAGAGACCTCCTCGGAAGGACTCAGGTACCAGATATACATGTTGTCAACACAGAACTATTTGGATGAAAAATAAATACATTTTTAAACCTCAGAATAAGGAGGCAATGAATCAATTGCTGTATATTTTCTCAATATGAAAGCTTATATGGTTACCTTTTGGACATATTAGCTATAATATACCGTATGTAAGTATATATGATATACGTACATTATATGTTGTATATTAATAGGATTTCAATCTTGCTATGATATTTCTATGACTACTGCATCCCTGACAGCTTTGCACTAGCCTGACGATGACAAGATTATCTAATAAGAAGAATGGTATAGAAATACTGTACAGTAGATTGTAACAGATACAGTTTAAGGGAATATTTTAGATGGCCTACACAATACATAAGCTATGCTGACATATCTTTCATAGTACAGCTTGGAGCTAAGAAGAAGTAATAAGTATATAATTTCAAGATGGCAACCAGGGCATCTCATGTCTTTAATGTGCAACAGAAAACATCCTATAGCGCCCATATTCCTCAAATAGAGCATAAATGCTCCCTTAATCAAATGGGTTTCTCTCCTTTGCGTTTTGAACATACAGTAACAGAAATAAAAGAAATATGAAAAAGTTTGATTGAAAGTGTCTGCCAGTGTCCCATTTAAGGTACTTTCATGTATAAAGATATATGGCCACACTTAGAGCTTGTTGCACACTTGTTGAATGATGCTTCCGTCACCAACTGAGCATGCGCACTTTGTTATCTGTCTTACGGAGAAACGGCTCCAGTTGTAATGTTGTTTAGTTTTCTCTGGTTCAATGAAAGTCCTCTGTCGCACTTTCTCCTCCCTCAAGTGTGGTGAAAATTCAGTCTCTGAGGGTGAAAGAAAAAAGCAGGAAAACATCTCCACTTAAAAGTAAATTTTTCATCTGTCCGAGTTATACTGCATATTGGATTGTCGGTGTGTAGAAAATCCAAGAAACAGAGTGAACAGTCCAGTACAGTGCTTTTGGAGTCACATGTCGTGCTCCGAACCATAGCAATGAACCTTCACAACTTCAACAAACTCCTCACTTTATGTAGGAGATGCCGATCTACTGCAAACATGTTTGAGCCACTTTCTTGCAGACTTGCATCACTGCACACATCACAGGAACTAAACACACACTGCATGACCCTCTTCAGCATAGAGCTAGCACTGAACTGAGCCAGTGACAGCAATCAAAGAAACATTTTTCTTAAAAAAACAAACAAAAAAAGAAACGCTTTACCCAAGACAGGATGACTTTCTCAACGCGACGCGCAGAGCAGACACAGCTGAGATACACGCAAATCTAGCAACCCACCCACACTAACACACTCACTCACACATACACACACGCTCGCGAAAGGGGAGAACGCTCAGAAATGTTACTTAGTGGCCTCCGTCTTCCCACGCGCAGTCATTCTTCTGTTTAGCCAGCTTCCTCACCACACGCTCAAGCTCTTTGCGGGATTTCTGCTCCTCCTCCAGACACTGCTTCATCCACTTGTTCTCCTGCGGCCAAAAATCGCACATCCTCAGCAGTCATTTCACTTTTTTATGGTCAATACATAAGATGTAAGAGCAGCCTACGATTTTACCTTCTTTAACTCATGGACCTCATCTTTTAACGCATAAACAGCATCAACAAGGCTTCTGTAAGAGAGAGGTACCATAAAAATGACTTTAACCTTATGTAGTATGAAATGATCAAGCAGAAAAACAATTAAAGAGTTAATTACATCTAAATAATAGTAGTAGCAATAATAAAACAACTCAGTGATGACAATGGAACTAAAGTATGACTATTAACCCTTGAAATGAAGAGTTATCAATTTTGTTGTGTTATAAGATTTAAGATTAATTATATTTACTTGTTTTCACATTTAGCATCAACAGGTTTGAGTCTTCACTTGTGTCCTGTTTGTTTTAATATTAAGAAACGTGAAGGATGATTTTCTTTCCGTGAAACAACACTCTATACACAACAATAACCTTTCATCCAATTCAAATTATGCCATTTCCTCCTCCGCTTACAAACACAAATGCGGTACTGATTAAAATCAGCACCTATGACAGAAAGGGCTCTTAGTGAATAATGAGCAACAGTGGCTTCTAAGGGTTAACAGGGCGTTTCACAGAATAAGGGAAAGAATGCAGCCGCGTGTAAGTCGGCAGCTGAACCTACTTCTCCTCAATGATGGTCTGACCGTTGCTCTTCATCTCTTCTACAATAATCTTTTCCTCTTCTGGTAACAGGACCTGGGGGACACCCTCCTTCCGGACAGCTGCGTGGGCGCAGACACACTTCATCACAGCGGTGTAACGCGCCCCATTTCCCACCCCTCTGCTAATGCCAATAGTTCTTTTGACGTCTTAACTGATGCCTTTGCTAGATGAGCAATAACATACCTGTTGTGGTCTGGTGCAGGCTGGCTCCAGTGCAGTAGGCCTCGATCACCTTCAGAATCTGGGCGTCTTCTTCCAGTGCTACAGTACCTATTAATTACGAAACCACAACAGACATCTGAGACCCAAAACTCCTAAGCTGCAGTGGAAACTGATGGCCTAATAAAGACACTTCAGTGCGTGCTACAAGCGTGCGCTAATTTTTCCAACCTCACCAACACCACAAAACAGGAGGCTTTGCTTCCACCATTTGTTTCGATTCTCAAAAACAAAAACATTATTCATTCATTAAGCGTCCCACTTAACCTACTTTTTCTCAGCAAAAATTCATCATCTGATGGTTTTCTCTCAGTCTTTCTCTTCGGAAGGAATTTCTTGATGGGTTTAGGGCTCTTGCTGGTGTCCTAGAGAGACAAGGCGATGATGAAGACGTGCAAGAGTTCAGTGAACCCCAAACAAGAGAACACACAATCACACAATGCACTGAAACTGTACCCTGAAATCTCCCACCTACATCCTATACTTTTAATGAGTAGCTTAAAAACTCAAATAGTAGTGTGCAAAAGTCTAAGGTATGTGAGGAAATGACAGGTGAAACAATTTATCTGGGCAGTAAATGTTTACTTGTAAACAAAAAAAAAAAAACATCAACAGCATAATAAACAGAAATAAACAAATGAACAATACATTGTGATGAGATGTGAGTGAGTCTCTTAGCTTTAAAACTTCGAAAGCTTTCCTTAAGGAAGTCGAGTATTTACAGTTACCATCCAATAACTGCTCCAGCTAATTAAGCCTTCATTAAATTAAATCAAGTGTACTGGTGATGGAATTAAACAAATCCTCTTAATTGCTGGAGTTCACCAAACTGTCAGGCACCAAACTTGTGTTCTTCTAACAGAATTTTTTTCACCAAGAAATTATTATCTATTATTTATTCTAGAGATATATAGTGTTTTTACGCATTAACTGCCAAGATAAACAGTTTTAAAATGTATTTGTTGACATGGATTTTTAAAAAAAAAATCATTATCATAACTATCATAGGTCTAAAGTGTAATCAAACAAACTGAATTTTCAGTGTTTACAGGGCAGCCCCCTTTATTAAAGGTGGTCAAAATGGACATAACTTGGGGTGAAGGACATAAAGGTCAGACACAAACATCACAGACAAGCAATGCTGATTATGCAAGTCACACTACAAGCAGGGACAGTTAGTGTTTTTCTTTAAACAAACAAATGTTACAGGAAAAAAAACTGTATCTGCAGTCTTTAGTTTGTTTTTCCCTTTGTGAATAGGGCTGGGTATCAAAATTCAATACTTTCATGGTAAATCAAATTATTTCAATACTACTGAGTATTGATGCAATTCATATAATTAAATACCAAACTGCACTACATAAGTAATCAGTCTTCTTGTCGTCTAAGCACACTTATTCCTAAAATGTTTCTAGACTGCTGACTGGCCGTCTAAATTACTTTCTGTTATGTTATAAATGTCAGAGATTCTTGATTAGCCTGCCATCAGAAAAGATACCCACAACCCAGCACTACACTCATTTCTGGTTTAAACCACACCCATATTTGGTTTGTAATTTGTAAGAAAGTATCAAAAAAATATTGTTCAGGAATCAGTAAGGAAGTCAATGTATCAGTACTGGTATAGCAAACGATATAAATGATACCCAGCCCTGACTGGGAAGAATTTTCCATATTGCTTCATTACAATCAAAATCCCTGAGAATGTAACTGCAGCTAAAGCAAGCATACAGTAAGAGTTGCATTAAACAGCACAGATATACTGTAGGAAATACACCACACGCTTAGCACAAAAGCTAAGAATATCAGTGGAATTCTGCACGAACTTTTTTCTGAGGAACACATATCACCAAGGAGACCCGTCTGACTGAACATCATATCTCGCCCCTTTTATTAATATGTTTGATATGAGAACTATCCCCGGAGAGAGGAAGGTCCTCCCAGCAGCAAAACAAGCCTTTCATTACTGGTCCTTCAAGGCAAACGTTGGGTAAGAAGCAGAACACATTCCACCATAGAGAGTGGTTAAAGAGACAGCAGTCTGAGGTACACTGTGCAGGACACCGAACAGTGAAAGAATGAAGGAGGACATGAGACAAACGAATAAACAGGAAATGGGTGGCTAACAGAAGGGAGAGAGTGTAATAGACAGAGAGAGTGATAAAGAGACAGAGAATGAGTAATAGAGAAAGAGAGAAACAGAGAGGAAGAGAAAGAAAGAAAGAAAGAAAGAAAGAAAGGAAGAAAAAGAAAGAGGGGAGAGAAAAAAGAAAGAGAAAAAGAGTGAGATACAGAGAAGAGAAAGAAAGAAAGAAAGAAAGAAAGAAAACGAGAGAAGGAAGGAAAGAAAAAGGGAGAGAGAGTCAGAGTGGTGAGAGTAATAGGAGGATAGAGGTAGATAGGGGAGGGAGAGAGAGAGGTGAGAAAAAAGAAAAAGCAGGAGAGAGAAGAGAAAGAAAAAAAACAGATGGAGGGAGAAAGAAGAGAGAGAAAGAAAGGGCAATACAGGGAAAACACGAGAAAGTGAGGGGATAGGAGATAGAGAAGGAGAGAGAAGAGAACAGAAAGAAAGAAATATAGAGAAAACGAGAGAACGGAGGAGACAGAGGTAGATTGAAGATGGAAATGGAGATGGAGTGAGGGAAGGCGAAAGAGGAAGAGGGGTCAGAGAGAAAGCAAGACAGAGAGAGAAGGGGAAGAAAAAAAGAGAACAGACCAAACAATTGGGGGGGAGGGGGCAGAGGTAGATATGAGATGGAGAAGGAGGACAGAGAGAGAGAGAGAGAGAGAGAGAGAGAGAGAGAGAGAGAGAGAGAGAGAGAGAGAGAGATAGCTAGAGATAGAGATAGAGATAGAGATAGAGAGAGATATTGCTGCAACAGCAGAGCTAGCCAGGCACACAAGACACAGTCACACACAGACTGGCTGGGCTACTCTTACCTTCATGATATAAGACATCCTCTAAAGAAGCAGAATGGAGAGAGAAAGGGGATGAGAAAATGCATGAGAAAAATGGAGGAGTCTGACAGGAACATGATGGAGAGAACAGTGAGAGGTGAACATTTCAGTGTGCCCTTGTCCTGTCAGACATACAGAAGTATACGCATGCATTTCTCAAAGTCAGAGAGAGAAAAACAAGGCTAATCTCCAGAACTGGTCAAGTACTGCAGAAGGCCCTGCAAAACCGCATGGTCTAACTTGTGACGTGCTATTCGCTAGAACAGTCTTCACTTCTGACAATAAATGTCAGCTTACAGAGCTCGCTAAAATACAGCCCCCTCAGCTTTTTTTTTTTTTGTGCAGCAGACCACTATTGAAACTTGCGGTGAAGGCTATGGTAGTGGTTCATCGGTAAGAGATAGAAGGACAGATATTACAGTAAAAGTGTTCTTGACACTCAAATCAGTAACTGTCTGGGTGGTGGGTTTTAGACGCTTCCTCTTAGGACCACCAAGCTTACTCACAAAGGTAAATTACGCTCCCACTCAACCGCTATGTTTCTGACTCACTGTTTTCCAGGCGCCATTGGAGAGCATCTTATAAAGATGGGCTCTTACCTCTTTGTAGCCTAATGCAGCAGAAGGTTTCAGAGGAGGAGCTGGTCTCAGGCAGCTCAGGGACCATGGCTTGGTGATCTTGGGGGGCTCCAGTGGGCCTCGGTTGCCCATGGCCGTGCTGAACCCCTGCAAATGGCTCTGGTGGGACTGGGCGCCGGTGACGCTCATAGGCTTGCTTTCAACATTCTAACAAACAAGATGTAAATAGGACAATCATTGTTAGAAATGCCAAACAGTTTGTTACAATTCACTTTTTATCCGCTTCACTTTAGATCTCTGGTAAGTCCACACCAATGGCTCACAGTGATTCACAAACACTTGCATATTTTAAACTTTCATTTTAACAAAATTGGGACTATAATGCAAATAAAAACAGAAAACTTGCATAGATATAAAAGAAGCATCCAGGAAATGCTTAGTCGTTTATAAGCAAGGACAGGTCAAGCCCAAAAAATGCCCCAAAAAAATAGCCAAAAATGCATTAGTGAATACTTCAACAGTTCAGAAACAATGATCCTTAATGAGTGATTGCAAGGATATTAGGTATGTGGCCTTCGATCCTTCAGATGGCACTGTATTAGAAATGGGCAATCTTTTGTGATGGACATCACCACATGGGCTGGAGAATACTCTTGTATAAACTGTTGTCAATAAACATCATTCATCGCTGCATTGACAAATGCAAGTTAAGATTGCATTATGCACAAATGAAGTCTATGCATGAAATGGGCTGCTGTACAGTGGAAACATGTATTATGGTCTGACAAGTCAACTTTCAGACTGTTTATGGAAACAGGATGTTGTATTCTCTGGGCCAAAGAAGAAAAGGAGCATCCAGACTGTTACCAGTATAAAGTTCACATGCCAGGGTCTGTCATGACGGTATGGGGTGTATTAGTACCCATGGCATGGGTAACACACATCTGTGCAGGCAGCATTAACGCTAAAAGATACATACACATTTTGGAACAAAATATGCTGCCTTTTAGGTGACGTCTTTTTCAAGAATGTTCATTTTTTTTTTCTACATGACAACATCAAGTTACATTCCGCATGTGTGGGGGCTAAACTTGCCTGCCTGCAGTCCAGACCTGCCTCCCATTAAAAACTTGTGATGTATTATGAGGCCCCAAAAGGCCTCATATGGTTGCACAGCTCAAGACTTGTATAATGGAAGAAAAACAAAAAATTCGCATTCTAAACTGGATCAACTGGTGACTTCAGTTCTTGAACGATTATTAAGTTGTAAATTTGGTGTAACACAGTGGTAAACCTGCTCCTGTCCCAACCTTTTTAGAATGAACATATATAGAGACAGAAAAAAACCCAAAAACAAAACAATAAATTTAAAAAGGTAAAATATCAGATATCATGTTTTTGTACTGCTTTCCATTTCATGCAGGTCATTAATAGAATTCACTAATCACTGCTCACTGCTTTAAACAGCATTTCACACAAAATGGCATTTCACATAAAAACTACACACAGCTAATTAATAAGCCTTCCTTGAGTTGAAGTGGATCTGTTATAGCAGGACAAACACCATAATGTGCAGGACAGTAACAGGACCGGAAACCACTGGTTTGGACTGGTATAGTTTGTCACTGGTGCATACATATACAGAGTAAAAATCAGGCACCACCCAAATATCTGTAAGTTATGTTGGTTTAATGTTGATTTAATCTCATCATTACAATCATGTATTAGACCAGTGGGTGTAGCTATGATGTATATTACCCACTGGTCTAACATAATAGTTATGATTATATCTTATCTAAGGTAATCAACAGTTACCTTAATGTTGGTTCCAACTGGGCTTCCACCTTTGGCATGCAGATGTTCCAGCCATTCCTGCAGGTCCTGGGAACTACTGCAGAAGACCGTGATGCGGTCAATCATCCCCCCTACAAAATCACAGCATTTTCCAAAATGAATTGAAATTCAATGCTTATATTCATATAAAAATGTATAAAAGGTATTCAGACCAGCTAAAAAATCTAACACCCCAAATGGAGATTCTGTATATAATGTATGTTATTGCATTAGTTTGCCTCTAAAATGTATTCTGACCAAATGAACAATGGATTTTGTGAAGCTCCCATAGACGTTTTGTGCACTAATAACAGTGGTAAGCAAAGTAACTCCAGGCATCAAACCTCAAATACCTGGCATTACACTGAATAAACAGTGGCTGAACTTTCATTGTCAAAACAAAAGTATTTCTCAGATACTGTAGAGAAAAAAGGAAAAAAAAAAAATCATTTCTGAACCCATCTTCTTTTAAAGAATGCCTTTTCTCTTCCAACATACACAAAGGCACAAATCACATTTAAATGGACTGGAACAAACCTGTGATCTCAAAGACATAATGACCCAACTCTGCATCTTCCAACTGCTTGGTCACTGTAGTCCCTGAGAGTGGGAGACGTCCCTGAAAAAAGAATGCGGATGCGTGAAGAAATAAAATAGTTGGAATATTAAACGAAGAACAGAAGCTAATTCTAGTATTTGTATATCTTCATTAACAATGTAATCATTCAGTACAGGTTGGTCAGCACAGTGGATAACACCAGTGCCCTGCATATGGGTCAAAGTCTTGATTCCTCATCCAGGAAAAACCCTGTTCTACTGTTCATCCAATAACAATCACAACAATGGCCTTTAATTTTTTTCTCTTTTATTTCAGAAATGTTGCACACAAGCAGCAGAACACTTGAGGTTGTGTATTTTCACAGACAACATCATGTGTCTATGTCCAAATTATAGTCGTGATGTTACAATAACACACAACCTTGAGTTTGGGGTGGGTAATATGGAAAAAAACACTATATTACCATACTGAAAGAAATTATCACAATAAAGGATACATATCACAGTATTTTGACACACAGACAACATGTGCTGGTAGCATCACCTTTTAAAAACTGCTATCAAAAACTAGAACTACAAAAATTATTATTCAACATTTCACATACTGTGCTGCAGTAAATCCAATAAAACAGCACTAATTAGGCTCTCTTTGTAATGACACATGCAGTTGTTTAGTGTTGGCATTTGGCCAGTACTGATGATATCCATGATATGCTTGGAATGCATACTGTGCATGACGATAAGAAAATGATCACCGTAAAGATTAAATTTTGCTATATTGCTCACCCCTAACACAAGTGTTCTGTTGCTTAATTGGTTGGTTGCACTTCAGTGGAATTACCTGGTAGATAAAGCCACTCATTCGTGGGCTGGCAGATAACATAATCAGCACATTGGGAAACAGCATGAAGTACCGCTCCTCCTTGTCCTATAACACATTGACACACACACATAAGTGAGACATTCAAAGTTCAAACACATTCATGTGATGTGCATGAAGAATAATACAGGGAAGCAAACACATTCCTCTTTAGAACACAGATGCAGACACACACACGCTTACATCAAACACAGGCAAACACAAAGATGCCCAAACACAGGTTCTTGCATTTATACATGGTTGTAAAATGTTAACTGGAGCAACTGCCATCAGTTGCTAGTGATCAACAAACATCATACCTGATGTTTAGTAAACCAAGACATATTTCAGCTAAGCAAAGAGAAAAAGAGAGAGGGAATACATTTGAATATGTTGATAGGCGACTTAAAGCAAAAAAGTGCATTTTTACCCTCATTATGGCTAGCCTTTGCTTGATGCAATAGTGGCCCCTATCATGGTCGAGAGCACAGGACTCTCTGAGTTTCTGTTCGTTGTTTACATGATGTTGGGTTTTATGCTAATAACTTATTCAGTGACCACAGTAGCAAAATAATGCAGGGGCTTGAATAGCAGCCGTTTGCACTCAAAGCTTTTCCACTATCCGTAGGATGAAAATAACAGATGAGTGGTGTACCTCATGCATACCAAAGACATGAGCCTCTAGTGCTCTTTTGCCACCGACAAATGATGTGGCATTCTCATGAATGCTAAACAAACCTCTTCATCATCATTATAATTATTTTTAATATTATTTTATATTTCATCATCACTGATGCATTTTCAGGTTGTTCAGCATGCATCTACATTGTCACCCTGTATACTTAAGCAGTTATGAGCCAGGAAAAATATAGAAAATAATTTTATTTCTTAAATATTTCTTTGCATATTTGATTTTTATAGTTAGACACAACATTACTTTTCATATTCACATTCTGTCATATTAATTTTTAGAGTTGGAATTTTTCTTGCATAAATTAACATTAAAAGTCTCCTGTGCCCTGGTGCACTGGAGTGATGCATTTTGGGTCAGAGGTACAGGCTTCCAAGAGTAAGTCTGGAGGCGCTCTGTAGAAAATAAGGGAACAATGCGTTTCTGTACAGTTCTATTTCCATATTTAGTTACATCACCAATAAAAAGTTCCACAGGCTAGAATGTGCCATGATACTACCTCCATCATGTGTCACAGATGTGGCAGTGTATGTATACTCTGGGCCACCTGAAGGTTTCTTTTCTTTTCTCATATTATATTAATATAAGGTTTACTGTTTCATCACTGTCAAAAAAAAACTCCCAAAGTTTTGTTTTAGGTTATAATTCTGCTGTTTCTTTTATAAGCAATACAATTTGAATGTAATAACTATTTAAAGCCCCCTCCCACAGCTCTGCAATTCTGAACTGCAGATGTCTCACTTTACCAAACATAGTCATCGCAGATTTAACTGTGTTTTTTTTTTTTAGGTTTAACAACGTTACATAATTTCAATGAAGCTTATGCTTGTCTCCATAGGGGCTATGCAAAACAATAAAACACATATGTCCAAAATAAACAATAAAACACATACGTTAGAAGGTGAGAGTTTGCACTTTTCCACCCTTATATTTGATGAAACTGGCTACTAAGGTAAAGATAAAAGATGAAAAATTGTCTTGACTATCTTAATATTTTACTAATAATAAATAATCTTTGGAGGGTACAGGTGGCTCGACATTTGACTATGCCAGCATAACCACAGTGCTTAAATATGCAAACTTTGACAGGAGCAGAGCAATAGTGCAACCACACAGCTGAGAAAAGAGTGTGGGTTTGGGTCTATGCTGACACCATCTCCACGTGTCCTGATCCACCCCCTCACCCTTCCTTTTCCTCACCTCACTTGAATTGCTCTGCACGTGGACCTGTGACATGTAGAGCACCTGGCCCAGAGATTTGATGTTGTCTCCCTCCCAGCCCCGCACTGGCTCAGACAAGATCTGCAGCTCTAGGTCCTTTCGTTTACGCAGCTCCTGGCATTGTGTCTGAATGAGGCAGAAAGAGGCAGACAAAAATACAATCTGTTAGCACTTATAGGGAGGCAGGGATGTAAATGCGTTCATCTGAAGGTGCTGAATCAAATGCATGGATTTTGAATTGTTAGAATCACATACAATAATAATTTAATAAAGTATGTGCTATTTTTTTGGTCAAAAGGAGTCAACAAAAAGGTCCAATTCCCAAACGTAGAAACTGAAGACACCAACCAAAAACTGTTGTACTGATTTTACTGTCTATATTTCACTACAGTATAAACAATACCTTCAGTCACATTTGTGTATTTTGTGCAATGTTTTAATTATACTGAATCACACCAAATTAATCAAACTGGGTTATGGAGAATTCTACGATTTCATGGAGAAATTTGAGATTTCATGATGCGTTGACTCATTTTGTAAAAAAATCATAATGAAATTGAATTGATCACTGTGGTATTTACACCCTACCAGAAAGTGAGCTGTGAATTTATGAACAAGGGAAGTGTTACAAAACTGTACAAGCAGGGAGAATATGATCTTGATAAAGGATCAAGAGTGAAGAAAGTAGTTTGAACTAAGACCCACTCATATGTGTGGCTGGTATGGATACAGATTTTAAAGGGGCTAAAATTCTGATAATCATTTACATCAGCCAATGTATTACATTTATATTTTATAGTTTATTCTTATAACCAATTTGGATATAATGCATATGACTATATGTCATATGAATTATATCCATATGTCAGTTCTCATTTGTCATACTTATTAAACTCAAATAAACAAAAACTCACTCTGTTAAACCATTTAAACATTACAGCCCTTGGGGTTTTAGGTTCATAAAAAAGTTTTTGTGTGTTAACATGTAATTCTTATGTAAAAGTTAGGTGTGCATACGTTTAAAAAGTACTTGTGACTCACAATGACCTAACAAGTGGTACTATTGATGTAACTTCCACGAGGACATCAAGAGGTTAGTTTCCAAAGGTTTTATTTCACCTAATCATGAGTTTCAACGTGGAAACAGTGATGTCCTGGTAAAATGGTAGCCTACTACACAGAAAAGCTTTTATTCCAAGATTACCCAAACAGCAATGACTGGTCCCCACAGCTGTAGTTAGCAAATACACTTGACTATCCCACCATGCTTAGCTTGAATGAGATGCTACACTACAAACAGTAACCTTGACACATGAATGCAACACACATAATATAGGCTAACATACAACATAACTACTATAAACGTGAGTTTGAGCGTAATTTACACATTCTGTCTGTAAAATGTAAACGTGTTCATTTTTTTTTACGTTGCTAGCCAAATCAGCCAGTTCTCAGTTAAAAGTTATTACCTACCTCAAATATACAGTAAAGAGCATGAGAAAGGTAAATTAAATGTAATAAATGTAAAATTATTAACTGATTTTGTATATAAAGCTTTCAATATGTATTTTAAACTGAAAATAACTATGTCAATAAATACTGAAAAAATTTACTAAATAAAATTGTGTAAATTGTGTACTATACATATTCGGCAGTGAAGTTACTTATAACTGCGAAGTAGGTTACTTTTCTATAAAATCAATCTCATAAAATTTTTGATCCTAGTTACAGCTCAGAGTGGCTCAGCCGAGAGTGTTTGATGCCATGACCAAAGAAAATACCAGTAATTATTGGCACATTATCTTGAATACTTTCCGTGATATCAATAAAACTGTTGGTTGTGAAAACTGGCTGATATATAATATCGCTGTCAGAACAAAACTTGATGTTTTCATTTTTTGACAGGATTTGAAAACAATTGGCCTTTAAACTGTGTCAAAATTTTATGACAAATAGACTAATACAAAACGATCCGAAATGACTTAGGATATGATCTTGTTCAATTTGGTTTCATTAAAATTAAGAACATTTCTCCCGTTCCTGTAAACCTTTTTGGAGATACAAGGTTTGGACTATGCTGAATAGTGTTAAACTACCAATTGAAATTCAAAGGTTTGCACGTGTAAGACAAGTCAGAGGTGACGATAAGTAACAAAAACCCATAACCGTCAGAAACAGAAGTACAAGGGATGCCGAAAGGTAGGAATTATTATTATATCACCAACCATGACGTAACACTCGTAACATTTGTTGAAGAAATCCTCTTAGCTGGCAGCAGTGTGGAATAAGCTGAAATGTCACTCTATAGTCTGCTTGCGGTTTATGATACTAGGTGTAAAACAGGCATGGCTCTTTTACATATGAGATGTAGCTTTCGCATGCAGTTTTTCTACTATGGGGGTAGACCAGGTCTAAAGACAGCACCTACAGACACAGACTACTGAGAATAGAAGGGAAATTCCCTGAACAGGCAAAAAAATGTAACACTAAAACCAAGGTGTTCCACAGAAAACTCAAAGTCAAGATTCTTATGACAATACCTGGGAAGAACAAAGTGCTGACACTAGCTATGCCCCAGCGAGGATTCTCTGAGCAGCAGTAGGAATGACTCACTGAGCCCTCTTTCCTTTGTGAGATGCTTTAAATCTTATAGGAAACGTCCAAAACTGCAAAGACCCAGTTAGTGAACACCCACTTCTGGAACACATGCACCTACTGAAGATGTGGTAATCATCTATAAATGATTACCACATCTCAGAATTACCATTTACATTAGCATAATGCATAGCATCCATGCACAGCGTGCTAACTAACATGCTCTCTCTTAGTGTCTCTTATTCACAGTCGACATAAAGGTTTGCCATCAAAATCTAAACATGGCCATTTATACAGTCTTTTGCAAGAGTCTGGGTGCCTCTGGTCAAATAACACATTCTGTTGATTTTCTAAGTAAAAATGAATTTCACTTACTGGAAAACATAAAACAAGGCCTGTGCAAATGTTGTGGCACATTTTATATGTTCTCTTTCTTTCTCCAAACATCCAAACTTTTTTTCTCTGTTAAACTTAGCAAATAAATAGAAATCATGCGCTATAATTTGCAGAAAAATGCCACATTTAAGTGTATTCCCTGTAGAGAATGTGTTAATTCATTTTCACTTCAAAAAAATGTGATTTGGTCTGGGGTGCTCCAACGTTTGCACAAAACTGTATACTAGGAGGTAAAAAAAAGACAAAAGTGAAAAACCACTGAACATGAAACTGAATGTTGTGAGAACACTGCAGCTGGTCTCGCAACTGAAAGTAACACAGACAAAAAACCCGAAGAAAGTATACTCTGTTTCGTGTTAAACTAATTTACGAGCACTGTGATTAACTGCCCTTAGGAAGACTCAATAAATGAACAGTTACATACCACAAGGCTTTTAAAAGCAACAGTTGCCTTTAGAATGTCACTGTAATCTGGATGGCCTTCCTGCAGGAGAGAAACAGAGTTGTTTAGTAGATCCGCACCTGTAAATCATTTTAACAGTGACTGAAAGGGAGCCCAGTAAAGGGCTTAAGGTCTGCTTTTACCTCCATGTGTCTCTCCAGTTCCTGTAGTAGGGTGGGATACTTCTCCAGCCTCATGAAGGGCTTGCTCAGGTTGGTGGTCAGAGTCAGAATGCCTGGAGCACTGGCTCCCTGGCTCTCCATGAACTTATCCAACTCCTCACTGTTCAACAAACACACAGAAATATTCAGATGCTTTTTAAACGCCTTCCTGCCCTGAACAACACTGTCTTGTATGTTCACAAGCTTCAAGAATAGATACTATGGATATGGATATTATAATAAATTGACATATAAAACCAAGAAATAAGGAAGTAACAATAACATGTACCATACTATATTGCTGTACCATGACTAGCATGTTAGCTTGTGGCTAGTGTGTTAACTTGGGGCTAACGTTACAGGGTTGCTCCACAATTTTAAAAATTCAGTGCTTTATGATACCTTTTCATGTCCTCAACATAACAAAAATAATACTTTTTCCACCACATAACACAGACTCTCAAATATGACGTCTTAAATATCTATTGGTTTCAAACCATTTGGCATGACCCTTACATGGTCTTTCACAGTGTTTGACTTTATCAGTTCTGCTGTCCTCTTGTCCTACATTAACCATCGGTTTAAACCACAGGACCGCTGTCAGCTGGATAATATGGTTGCTGGACTATTCTGGATTAGTTTAATATACAAGATGATTCAGCTTTTAACACTTCAAGCATTTTTGACACTGTCTAAAGGTATTGTCCTGCAGTCTAATTAGGGATGCCCGTGTATTTTTACTCCTGGACTTGATCAGAGTCCTTTAATACTGAGTATCAGCTGGTATTAAGTCCGAAAAACTATTTGTGTTCTCACAGACAACACAGCTGCACAATTTGGGTAAGATTATAGCACCTTGCCAAATACAATACCGCAAAATCTGTTCATTTCAGTGTGTGCATGACGTGGCATTCTGAACTGATATTTTTTGGGGTTTTTTTTAGCCATGACCATTTCAAAATGACCATTTGACTGACTGATTTTATGATTTTAGTAAGTTATTTTAATATACAGTTAAATCACATTTTTGTATTATAAGCAAAGTATTGCACACTCTGAACAGCTCTAGTTTCATTGGACTTCTTATGTAAAACAATCTTTTTATAGGCTGGTGAATATGCTTCGATTACATACTGCTCTAATGCACATGAAGTAGCTCGTCTCTTCTCTCACTTTTGAAGCTAAGTTCATTTTTAAACAAATAACTGATGGTAAATCACAACATTTCAATGACAGTCTTTAACCAGTCGTGACTTGAGGGTGGAAACGCTGTGGTAGTGCATTTGGTATTTAGGTTTTGGTGGCATGGCGCTCGTGGCAAATGGCAGAAAACAGACGCTAGCCATGTGCTCACTTTTTACACGGCTATATTTACATTAAAGACAGCACAGTTAAACACAGAGAAAACACTGGACCTGCAGATATTACATGCTTTAAGCTTCTGCTTTAAAAAAGTTTAACACTGCAGACATTTAAAGCTTTTGGTTACCCTCTGAAAACGCTCCTGACTGCTGCAGACTGTGGAATGATGGTGTTTAAGGATCAGAACTTGATCAGGCTTATTTTAGCTGATAGCTGACGCACTCAAACATGACTGGATATCCCAAAATCTTATACCTCTAATAGTAAAAAATAACACATTTTCAGACATTTTATGACCTGAAATTTTCAATATCTATTTTAAAACTTTATAATACTTTTCAAAGATATGCATTAACCCTGTGATAGCTAATGGCTACAGCATTAGATTGAGAAACTATAAAGCATAACTTTAGTTTCAAATATCTTACTTTTATAAATGTTAAATGCTACTATAAACTAAAAACTGAAACATTAACATATCAACATGAGGCACATTTTCAACCAGTCCTTATTTTTTGCTGTATTGAAAAATGTATTGAACTGAGATGTCACTGTATTGCAGAGTGCAGACAGAGTGCGCTACAAAGATATGTTGAAATGAAATCATCTTAAACACAGTCAAAATATCTAATGCATCTCATTTTGAGATTAACTTCTTCTATTACTGTTAAACTTTAGCACATATTTTTAAAGCACTTTAAGTTACCAACAGTATGAAAAGTGCTCTATAAATAAAGATATAATTATTACTGTTATTCATTTATTTACTTATTATTTAGTGAAATTATTTTAATTTAATTAATACATAAATAAAAAAACACAAACAAAACATCTACAAATAAGTTGAATGACCTTATTAATATTATTTAAAAGAATCGCACAATGAGAAATGAGATATATTGACTAGATTTAAGATGATTTCACTTCCAGTGTGCTGACATCACCTATATTCATTCCTATAACACAAATTGCCGAAAGTATAGTTCTTTGCAGAATAAAAGTCACTGAAACTGATCTTAATCTGAGTTAATCTGAACTGCGCAACGTACATCATCTCCTACATTCTACTGGACCTTATTGTTTCTTCTGAGAATCCGTGAAATAAAAAAGCTGAATTTCTAGTACAAAGCTGAAGAGCTCCAGTTTGGTGAGAGTTCCTGAAAACATCTATTTCTAGCAGAGATTTCTGACAAACGCACGCCGTGTTTACCTGACCTTTAAAAATAGCTAACTAAATCGGCAGAGCTGAACCATAGCAATTGTTATGGTTAAGGTGAAAGACGCTGCTTATAGATAAAGTCAAAAGTACGATGATTCATTTCAACACATGCTTTCACTACATGCTGTGGAAAACGCTGCAAAAGGTTGCAGGGTGAGGTGCAATTTGAACACACACTGAAATGTAAAAAAGAGCCTCCATCAGCAGAACCGCATCTATAGATATCCTGTTGGGTTAATGCTGGCTTCCTGTGTGTATGAAGCTTGCTTTGACAACTTGCTGCGGAGAGTTACTCATTTTAAGTGGAAGGGAAAAGTCAAAGGAACTTGGCTTTTAGATCGATGTGCAAACGCATGCAGGAAGTGTGTCACAGTCACCATGCTGCACAAAGTATACCGGTTAATTTCGGTCATGTATGACAAGGAGTGCCATCAAAGTCAAATCTGCTGGCTTTGAATAAAAAGAGCATTTTAGCAGGTGCTTGGAGCGCTCAATTTCACCATTCAGTTCTAGTGTAGCAGCTGCAAGATAGTGAAAGCACGGTGGTACCACCTGGTGGTGGATTCTTGCCATTACACTCAAAGGGGAGCTTCGGTGCACACTCAGATTAGAGTTGATTTGGAGCATCTGTGATTTTTTTATTTTTACAATTGTCTGCGTTGTCTGATTTTTCTAATAAACAAAATCAATTTCCTTTACATCCTATGCAGCTGATCATCTAAGACATGTTTAGTGTCTAAACCTCATTTAGCACTGGAGCTAGCAGGCTAATGTAGCTAAGTAAAGGAGGGTTATAGCTACCAGATACCACAGCAAAACCTGCATGTCTAATCTGCACACTTGTCTTGTGTTACCGTGTTAAGTAAACTCAAATAGACTGTGTGTTTTCTGTTTCACTGTGTGACTTACTGTTATCTATAAAAACAAACGTGTGTCACGTTGTTAAAGACACTATTAACAGTTATCTTAGAATGACACAGTGTCAATAAGCAGATAAGCAGGATTACTTAACAGGAAATTTCACTCATCTTTCAAAATTTCATTCTAATTCGATTACTAAGATATAAACAAAGTCATTTTGAGTGGGTTGATGTGGAACGGTGCACTGTAGAGAAATTCAGGCTGATTCACTCTTCCGAAGCAGAGTTTGGGTTTTTTGTGACATTGCATCTTTTTCATTTAGCCCGGTTGTTTGGCTGTGATGGCTAAAGTGCACCATATTATACTTTTTAGTGCTTGTTTACAGGTCAGAAATTTTGCAGGGATACAAGTGCTCTGCTATTCTCAAATACTCCCCAATTTGACCCAAAAAAACTCCCACTTTGCATGAAAAAAGAGACACTTAACATCTATGTGCATCACATTCAAAGCAATAATAATAAACCTTACTTAAAATCTGCTTCTTTATGACTGATTTATCAAACTGACTGTAACTAATAAGGTTGCTGACGCTACATGATCCGCGTTCCATGCAGCAAAATTAAAGCCATTGCCACACTATTAGTTTGTTGCTGACGTGCTGTTAGAACGATATGAGCGTTTTTCCTGAGTGAGACGTTAACACAGGCAGATTATGTGGACAGACCAGACGCTAGACAAAGTACAAAACATGCTCTGATGTTGAATTCTCTCGTTTGATGTGGACCATCACAAAAATGTGTTTCTAGCGGAAGTGAACTGAACCAGGGTTCATTTGGAAGCTAAATGAGACTTGTGATTTTTGCCAGGCCACGGTTCATGTGTTTAGTCCACACCCAAGCAAGAGTGGAGTGTTCAAACCAAATGATTGATATACCAAACAAGGTAGGTGTGAAAGCACCCTTACTGACGCAGATTTCTGAACAGTGGTGGAGATAGGAGCCAAACGTCTACATGGCAAGTATAAGCACTTACTATCCAAAATGACCAGTAATCCTACGCTAGTTTAATACATTAAGTGATGATGGTAATGCAGTGGTAAAGCTGAAATAAATTTCCTTTGAGTAGTACTTTGCCTTTTTATGCAATAACAATGCCTCAGGCATCAGGCAGCCTACTGATAACTGTTTTGCATAATAACGTTCTGTAATGTAGCTTTTAAAAGCATCAAATGCTTCAGACAGCTGGTTCCTAACACCACAACTCACAACAATAGTGCATTGGTAGATTTTACCAGAATGGTACTTTTCACGTCAAACCACCCTCACTAACTTTGTTTATATCTCAACGATCGACTTACACTGCAATTTTGAAAAATCGGTGGCATTCCCATTCAACAGTGCGATGTGGTTTGAGGCAAATGTGTGACTTATGCAAGCAGTTTCCATGATGCCATTTGACTATAAGCTTCCAGTACTTGTTAGCTCTAATGCCACACTAAAGAGGCACGCTTTTTGGTTCACTGATTATGTTTAGTGTAAGAGGGAATCTGTATAAATTTAAATTTCACTTCACAATTACTTTAAAAACAAACCTGACCATGATAACATGGCTGTTCTCATTTTCTTTGCTTACTGTTCCAGCATCAGTTTAGTATGAAGGCACCAACCTGTGATCAGTGAGCACACAGACTGCAGAGGGGTGGCTGGAGCAGTAAGACAGGTAGAGGATTCTGATCTGGCACATCAGGTTCAAGTAACAGCCGCCCAGACGCTGCTGACACTCCGGCATCCTGAGAGACAAACAAACAGATACAGATGAGAGAGGAAGATATTAGTGATCCTGAACAGACTATAATACACTAATCTTACAACAAGTAATATTAATACAATAAGTAATGATTTTACGCATGTTCAGGTGTTTGTTAACCATTTCCAAACCTCTCCTCAAAGTAGCTCAATATTGTTTATAGTTATCATCCAACGCCTGGTTAAATCAAGTGTGCTGAAGATGGAATTTAACAAATCCATGTGATGAATATGTGGTGTTTTTACAAGCACAAACACACTTATTGCAAAGATAAATAGTTTTAAATAATGTGCTTATGTGCCAAAGACTTTTGCACACTGATCTGAGTAATGCAGAAGTGTTCCAGGACAATATCTGGGAAAAGCGGCTCTTGTATGTTTTGAGTTGAACATATGTCATTCTAATTTAAAAGTGAACCTGTTAGGTATATGAAATAACAAATGTTTAGCAAATTGCTTCAAAAATCCTTTTTCTGTCCTTTTATTGCAAAATATAAACCAAAGATTGGCCTTCTGTTGCAGCTCTGCAAGTTGCTCTACATTTAGCTAGTGATGAAGTGGCCTTCTTTATAAACGTTCTTTATAGTGATGTCAAAGTTAACTTGTTAATGTGTTAACATGATAAATTATTAATGCCACTTGTTTCTTTTAATGCCATTAGCTCATTTTCCTAGTTTGACCCTTCAAACCATCTGTAGTTCCAGCTACAATTTGGGTCTAATGATAAAAAAAGTTCTTTCCAACTACTGCAAAGGTGAATTTGTTTATCACTGAAGTACATCCAGTCTGAAGTACCATTTACAAGCAAAAGACACCCCTGGTGCCGGCAACGTCAGTAATATCAGTAACATTAGCACTGTTTGAGCCAATGTGTTGTTATGTAATTATTTTAATTGTTTCATAGCTCTAGCATAAACACGAACATGTTAGTTGGAACATTAATGCATCACTATATAGGCATTAAATATACTTTTAAACATAACACCAAACCAATATAGATAGTTATTTTCTGAAAACAGCTGCTGATGTCATACTAGTATGAGGTATTTATACAGCATCTAAAAAAAACAAAACAAAACAAGCTCTACTCTGTAACAAAGTCAATGTGAATCAGAAATCAGAAATTATTTTAGTTCTGTATTGTGACAAATCTCAGAGTGAAACATAGTACGAGAGAGGGTCTCAGAGCTAGCTGAAGGTGGGGACACAATGTTATTGTTTAATATTATTTTTGGTGCACAATGACAATCAAAACTCAGAAGACAGTTTCAAGGCAGGGAAAAGTCTCCACACTTCAGTCAAAAATTACAGGTAAGCAATAATTTTGTCTTTGAAATGGTATGCTATGATTAATTCTACTTAAAATGATGAAGACAATGAACTAACAAAGTAAAAAAAAAAGGTCCACTTCAATTTCTGGTTGACTTTCATAATCTAATCATAGGTATAAGGTACTAAAATGCAATATAACAAAGTCTTCACAATGCAAAATAAACAAACTTCTCTTAACAGACGTGCCAGCTTAAGCCTTCTTCAATCTTTTTTTAATTAATTGTATCTGTAGGTACATTTTTATTGTGCATCCCTTATTATGCAGAAGTATTATGCACTTACTTTGCGCATTCCTCCAAAGCCACGCAGAGTCCTTGTTGGAAAGTGAGTATTTCCTCCAAGTTCCCACACAGGCTGCTGCTGTCTGCACTGGAGAGCCTGCACAGTGAAAGAATTCAGGGTTTTTATCAACTAAAAATCGTCAAATGGCCAAAAGCTTACATATCAAAGGGTTTGTGATGCCCTGATTAATGGAGCTCTTGCTTACTTGTCACTGGCTTGTAGAGGGCGTAAGTAGCAGGTGAGCACACTCTGCAGCTCCTTTACAAACTCACGCTCGTGCTCCAGGATGTCCTGCACCACCTGAGACAAAACCATAACCACTGTCACAAGCACAGGGTCTACCCCTACCATCCCGCAAAACCCCCTGCACATGAACCGACGTTCTTTGTTGAGCTAGGGGAACTCACCACATTGTAGTAGTTTTTGGTCAGCTGAGGAACGTCGAACCCTTTCACAGCTTTAGGCGAGATTGGTTTTTCTGCAAAGCAGAAATGATACAAACGAGAACACTGCATTTTAGATATAAAGAGGAAATACTATTACAAACAGCAATGTCACTGTTTACAGATTACCTGAAATAAGTAAATGGCTGAATAATCACATGGAAGATAAAGGGGGTGAGCAAAAACAAACAGTCTTTTCAGACTAATCTCAAAGCAAAAGAATTATTATCCACAACTAAGACACATTCACTTATTTTCAAACAGGCAGTCACCCCACTGCTGCACTCCCTTCACTGGCTTCCTGTAGTGGCACGCATCAGATCTAAAACCCTGATGCTTACCTACAAAGCCAAAAACGGACCAGCCCCTCCCTACTTGATGGAATGGTCAAAACTCGAACTGTACCACGAGCCCTTCGAGCTTCGAGTACAGCTCGGCTTGACCCGCCATCCTTCAAGACTGAAGACTTCTCTTTATACAGCACTTAAATGAGTACTGAGTTAAGTATTCATTGTAATGTGTTGTACTGCACTTATTCAATTGTATTGTATTGCACTGTGCTGTGTTTAACTCTGTTCCTTTTTCTCTGGGTATCAACAGTGACTTTTTGTTTCTAGCAGTATCTGAGCTCAGGACTGGCTTTCTCTCTAATCTATTGGTAACTAGCAAAGATACTTTCTCTAGATAGACAAAGCACTTTTTGTAAGTCGCTCTGGATAAGAGCGTCTGCTAAATGCTGTAAATGTAACGTAAATGTAAATTTTCAACAATATAATAAGTTGTTTTTTTTGCCCCCCCCTTATGCTATGTGGGTTTGTGAAAGGCGCCATATAAAATGTAACTAATTATTATTATAATGAAATATATCATTGTTGTCAAAAAAAAAATCTCCATTTTTGTTGAATTTTATTTTTCTCCATCATTTAAACCTGGCAGCTGTCCTTTATATTGTGTGAAAATTTCATGATGTATGGACCGATGGAAGAGCTCCAAAATCACTTGGATAAAACATTAATTTCCATTAAATGTTGAAAACATTTCTGCCTTCTCGTGTAAAGTTACTATTTTTAACATAGACGTTTTTCTTAGCACAGCGACAATATATTAATGGACACGCTGTTGGAGATTGTGCTGGACTGCCCACTCACCACATGGCTTGACCTCTCTGACATAGTTGCTGGGGAACCAGCCGGTCTTGCCATTGAGGTTGCCCTCCCACCAGCCACCCTCCTCCTGGCGTGTGACGTGGATTAGCTCGCCCTTTTTGAAGGACAGCTCGTCCTCGTTGTTCTGCTTGAAGTTGAAGCGCGCCTTCACTACCAGCTGGGTTCCCCCTCCATTCTCCGACATCTCCTGCACCCAAAAACACACAGATGAAGATCGATGCAGTTACAGTGCTGTGAAAAAGTACTTGCCCCTTAACTGATTTCTTATATTTTTGTTAATGTTACATCTAAAAGTTTCAGATCATCCAATTAATTTTAATGTAAGATAAAGACAACACGAGTAAACACAAAACACAGCATTTAAATGATCATTCCATTTACTGAAGATAAAGATCTATTAAAAACCTATATCACCCATGTGAGAAACTAATGGCCCGCTAAACCTAATAACCTCTTGTGCCATTTTTGACAATAACAACTGCAATCAGTTTGCGATAACTTTTACATCACTGTAGAGGAATTTTGGCCCACTCTCCTTTGCAGAATTTAATTCAGCTACATTGGAGGGTTTTTGAGTATTAACTTCCCATTTTAGGTCTTGCCACAGCATCTCAATGGTATTTAAGCAACTTGGCTCAGTCATTCCAAAACCTTAATTTTGTTTCTTTGGAGCCATTCAGAGGTGGACTTGCTTGTGTGCTTTGGATCATTGTCCTGCTGCGTAACCCCACTGCGCTTGAGCTTTAGGTCACAAACTGATGAGCGGACATTCTCCTGCAGGATTTTCTGACAGAGAACAGAATTCATGGTTCCACCAGTTATGACAAGATGTCCAGATCCTGCAGCAGCAAAGCAGCCCCAGACCATCACACTGCCACCACCATGTTTGACTGTTGGTATGATGTTTTTATGGTGGAATGCGGTGTTTGCTTTACAGAACCCATGTCTTCCAAAAAGGTCAACCTTTGACTCATCAGTCCACAGAATATTATCCCAAAAGTCTTGGGAATCTTGTAGATGTTTTTAGCAAATGTGAGACGGGCAAATACTTACCACTGCTTTTGATTGTCGCCGCAAGGACTTGTTAGACTTCAAGTTGGATGACGAGGGGGTCGATAGGTTAGGAGCAGGAGAACTGGGTGGTGGACATGACCTCTCAGTACCACGATCTAGTGGAAATGGGAGAAAATGAGAGAGACCAGTCTTTTAATACCACTTTTTAAAGTTTAAACACATTTATTCTCAAGCATATGCCCCATTTCTGCCAATGCAGAAGTTTATTGCTTTGCTTGATTTCCAGTGATGTAATTTCAGAAACTGGAAAAAAAATTTAGTTGTTACATTTTATTTGTTGTTAAGCAAGGAGGTAAACAGAGTTTAGCATTTTAAGTTGCGAAGCATCTCATGGACCTGGCTTGTAACTAACTGTCTAACATTTAGCAGGCACCGAAATAACATAATACTTTACATTTTGAATGGTTATTAGAGAACCAGTTATTTAAAATATTGCTGTTCTCCTTCACTCTCCTGCACCGGTCAGCTAAGATGCATTCAAACAGTTTGAGCAGCATCAGATAAATAGTAAATGCTGACCATGTGGAACTATTTCACGCTTTCTGAAGGGAATGGAGACAAAAGATTTATAATCTGTTTATGCTGAATATAAGGAGAGTGAATAACACTCAAGAACTTCTTTGCTACAGTATTGATGGCATTTGAAAACGTGAAATTGCACTCGATACACAGAGTACAGCAAAACAGAAGCAGGAAGGAAATGTCCCATCCGTAGTCTTAGTTTTTGAAATGAAGATAAAACTCACAATAACAACAGTGCAAAAGTGTCAATATAACTAAAAAATAATGGAACTCATTGCCTTGCACCAACAGTTCACTGTTACAGACAACAGAACATTTATAATAATAATAATAATAATAATAATAATAATAATAATAATAATAAGAAGAAGAAGAAGAAGAAGAAGAAGAAGAAGAAGAAGAAGAAGAAGAAGAAGAAGAAGAAGAAGAAGAAGAAGAACAACAACAACAACAACAACAACAACAACAACAACAACAACAACAACAACAACAATAAAAGACCTTTGAACAATAGTACATAACAAAATCTGTGTCCAGGCTAAGCATATTACTAAAACCAATAAAAACATGAGGACTAAAACTCCAAAGGTATGGTAAAAATCACTCCGGTGACAAGAAATGTACCATGTTTACACTGCCAAATCTATAAAAGTTAAGAGCATTCATAAAGCCAAAAGAGTCAGTTCTTATTGGTGAGCTAGTTCACTGAAAAAAGCTAGGATGCCCATCACTAGCCGGGCAAGCGTGCAGGCTGCTTTCCACTGCTTTTTAATTTCAAACAAGTCCGATGCTGTGATCTTTACAGCACAACTACAAACTCTACAAAAAGCACTTTGCTCTCATTTTAAACAAATTAAACGCTGCATTCAGGAGATTTTTTCTGTTGCATAAGAAGGCAACTGGTTGTTTTGTTTAGCATCCTGTTTAAATGCCAGTGCACAAAATTGCACTTGGCTTTAATCTGGTGTTTGCTGGTGTTGTATTACCAACTAACATTGGGCAGCTCACTGTAAATAGCCTAGCTGAGGCCAGTATTGGCTGTTTCTGTGAAGCCACTGTGCAGCACACAGCAAAACAAACTTTTTAACTCAACTGATCTACATTCACTGCCGTGAGACCACAGAGAAAGCAAAAGATGACAGTCTTACGGTAAACCAGCAGTTTGTAACTAAGCTCGGACTAGTTTTTTAGCAAGTTAATTAGGCTTCTTGTGACAAGAGCAATGAGCCAATAGGCCAATTTTCTCAGCATGCCCTCTAAATATCCTAGCATTCAAGGTCAGTGGCACGCATAATTGAAAAAATCCACATGCATGTACTCACGCATAATGAACAGGCTTAATGAAGTGGTAGGCTGCTCTGGTCAAAATCTGTTCTCGCACAGGTGCTCCTAAATTAAAATTCTGGTCACATTTTCAAAAAAAGGAATAAGCAAATGCAAGCATTTTGTTTGCCATGTACAACACTGCTGCCTGTCAGCAGCTTAAGTACACCTAGCTTTTCAAAATGTTTTTTAATACAAAGTTGTTCAGATCTAAACTATGTCCTGTGCAAAAAATGCATAAATGAAGGAGCAACTGACAAAAGTACCATCATGAGATTCATATAGCCCACACACTATATCCTAGCTGTGATGTCAGCACTTATGACCAGACCTTTCAGCCCTTTTGGACAAAAGACTTTCAAAATATGCTTGAACAACAGCTTGGGAAAGAAAATTATCAAATCATTATTTAGCCAAAAACAGCTCCTCATACTACACAAGACGCTTCAGTGAACATAACCCTGAGTGATGCAAAATATACAGAAAATGTTTTGTTAACAAAACATTTGCAGGTAAAATCAGGCAAGGTTAACAGGCATTGCACATCTATGTACAACCAAAAAAAAAAGCCACCAAATAACACAGGCTGATTTATGCAATCTGACCTTAACTGCCAGATTACAAATTCAGTGACCACAACAAACATTTACTCACAGGCGCTTCCAAAAACACCCTGCATAGCAGAAGTCACAGTTCCCCTCTCATTCCCACAGTCCTGAAAGCCACAGTGTGGACTGTACAATGATTACTGGCTCCGCACAGTCACAGAGTAATCATGAAGACGTGTTCTCTCTCACTGTCTGTTCTCCTTTCTGTGTGTCCTGGTGCAGTAGCAGGTTAGCTGCCCTGCGTCCTGAACAGAACTCAGCTCTGCAGGGGCCACTGAGGCTCCAGACCGTTTCTCCACTTCACACAGCGCTGCTCTCAGCCTACTCCAGCAACACGATCGCCCCATAGGCTTCACACCGGGCCCTTTCCCAGCACCCACACCTCCAAATCTGTGTGTGAAGGTGGTCCAACCACTCCACAGCCAAGACAGTAAAGAACTGAGACTGGTAAGAGGGAGTGTATTCTGCAACATGAAGCTGAGGCAAAATAACTAACCCCAAGCAAGGAAAAAAAAGAAATAAGCCATGAGGTTGTGGTAAAATCACTGTAATGCACACCATCCAGTGGCTTATTTCTAAGCATATACTGGAAAAGTATACTGAAATTTAAAGAGCCAATGTCATGGATCTCTGCTTTCTGGAAAAAAAGAATTGATGTATTGCCAATATGCCTCTGTCTCTTCTGAGCATCTCTCATTTACCTTCATTCATGGAAACCACTGTCAATGATCAACCTTATGCATCCAAGTGCATTCTAGCAGAGTAAAGGAAGTGGGAAGGAGCAGAGCTTATACACACAGCTATGCTAAAAAAGACTGGCCTTTTTTTTTTTAAGGTGTTATAAATTTTAGGCTTTGTGATTTTTGTGAAAAATGTTCTATTTGGAGAGCTTTGTTTATCCAAGCTTAACAAATCTGTGTAGTAGTTTATAAAACATCTCAAGCAGAGTCAAGACACTTTTAATACAGAAAATATTAAAAATCAAATCAACATCTTGAACTAAGATTTGACAATTGTACTGAACCTAAAAAATGTGCATCGTTACAACGCACGTGCATAGTTACTGCTATTATTAAACAGATAAAATATAATACAATAAAAGACACAAATGTTCATTTTGGCAACTCTACAGATGATAACTCGTAACAGAATAAACTATGAGTATTCATTTTACAAACATATAAAACAATGACCCAGATCCAATTAAAAAGATAGTTGCCGCTATTATTATTAATACTACAGCAATAAACTCTTCTTTTAAGCAATGTACCTTTTTAACAGTAGGCTATAGTTGGCTAGCAATATACTGATTCATGATGTAACTACATAATCATTCTTTTTAATCAATTTAATCCAATTGATGTGTTTGGTGTGTATATCTAAGCAGTAAGCAAGAGAGGGAGTGTGTTCTCACAAATAACCTCACACGTTCTAATGCAAAGAAGCCCTTAAGATAGCATCACGTGCTTTAACATGGGCAATTCCAGCCAAAACGTATTTGACAGAGCACTAAAACTGTTGCAATATCAGGTTCAGCTTTAGCAGTTTTTACCAGATTAACCTGAATGTCACTTCATTTCAACCAGTCTGCAAAGCTTTTGACAACCCATCTTGCTTGACAGATTAAACCGTTTGTTTCTGGCTAACTTCAGCTTGTTTTGTTGTTCTGCAGTTGCCGACAGAAAAGCTTGCTTAGGGCAATGACAGCATTCGGAATTTGATGTAGGCCTGCTGTCACAGTCTTCAGAATCAGACCAAATGGGCTATAGGTCAAATATTACCTCATAACAGTCATTTCCTAACTTTGTATGTGCTTAAATAGAAACATAGTAACGGTTAGCTGCAGTGTAAAGTGAGCAGCAACTTAGTCAGTGCTATGCAGAATGAAACAGGTATTGTGAAAAAACTGTTAGCACAAATAACAGCCTGGGAGGAACGCTTCTAAAAAAAATCAGACTGGGCTATCGGAACAATTTGTATAAAGAGTATTTTGCTACAGCACCAAAGGTGGCTTAGCCAATAAGATTTTAGATTTTAAATCTGTTTCATCATAGCAGCTTTTCCTAATTGATTGAAAAGTGACTGAAAACAGGGGCCAGCCAATCTGATCGAGCTATCGGAACTATTTGTTTTATAACAGTAGCTTTTCTTACCTGTTTGAAAAGTGATTGATATCAGTGGCCAACAAATCAGACTGAGCCAATGGAACTGTCTATTTCATAATAGTAGCTTTTGTTAACCTAAAGTGACAATGAAAATCAAACATTAGACTTCATATTCCCAAAGAGTAACCCAATCATTTCCTCAAACTTTTCAACATCAGTGTAAAAATCTATTAACAATAGAATCGTGTGCGTGTCTGAAGACACCTCCTCAGTCAACACACCAGTGAACTGAGATCAGGGGCCTTTCACATTAAGCAAGTTCAACACAGACAGAGTTCATGACTAGGTTTCAGCTTCACAAAGCCTAACAAACGGAATGGCAGTTAACGTGTTTCAGGAAGATGGGTTACAACATTCTCTGTTTAGATACTCAAGCTAAGATTAATCCTAGTGCGTGCACATAAAAGCGTGACGTTTATGACGAACAGCCAATGATGTGAAACATAAGGAGGATCAGAGTGTCTCTTTTTTTCAAAT